ATTCTTGTCTTGATTATTCTTTGTTACTGCAGCTGCATTCTATTTACATAATATTATAGAATAAAACTCTTATTCGGATGGCATAATCAATGCAAATCTTTTAATCGTTAGTCGTAAGAAAATGAATTATATATATCCATTTATCGAATGGTGTAATGAATTCTTCTTTTCATGAGTATGTATAATGTTCTTGGATTGGAATTAAAAATATAGATCTGCATGCTGATCTAAAAATATTTTAAAAAGTAGTTTATATAAATACAAAAATAAGTTTGAAAAGGGAGAAAATGTTTAGATAATGCATAAAGTTAAAAGACAAAATAATCCATATATTTTAATAATTAGTAGAATTTCGTATAACAAAATATATACTTTACTTACTAGTATTTGTTATAATAATTTGATAAAAMKAACGTCTSGAATTCATCTGCATTCTCGGATTTAATTAAGAAAATTATTTTTCTWAGGTTATGACATAACACTGTCCCACAGCACTTTATCCAGTTTAATTATTTTCATCCAGAATTGGCGATCACTAARTAAAGAATATGAAACGAATTATTATAAATAAAAAATATTATTCACTTGATTATTGCATCACTAAAAGGATTTTTTTAATTAAATACTTTACACTGCACATAGCCGGTATTTACGGTATTCAAAGTACATTGACAGGTAGCCATCTTGATTTTATCCTAGTGATGTTTTGTCTTTTGTCTAGATGGCGAAACATATTCTAGTAGTCGTTTAGTCATAGTAACATTTACTTCCGCAAGATGGCAGCCTAATTTTACTAGTCGGTACAATGAAGTAATATCTAGTACCACTAGATGGCGAAACATTTGTTACCTGTCGGTAATAAAATACAGATTTCCCGACATAGTTTTATTAATTTATTAAATTTTAATGCAACCTAAATCATTTTTTAAAAGGATAAAAATAAGTATATTTTAATAGTATTATAATATTTACTTCTTTAAACAAAATTTTTCGGACAGTACTTTTCCTTTCAAAGATGTGGAATAAATTCTTTGATTAATATTCTATGGATTTAGATGGATCTTTGATTGATCTTTCATATTAAATTGAAGAAAACATTCAATACGTTTAGTTAAATGTAGTTAATACAGTGTGATAATATTCATAAAAGTATTGATGTAACATTTAAATATATATCCATAAACAAAAGATAGTTGAATTATGTAAATATCCAGTAGAATATTAAATGCAATAAATGCAAAAAGTGCAATAAAGCATGAAATTGGTCGAGTAGGAAATTCATATAACCCGCTTAGAATTATTTTGTTGCTATACTAGCACACCTATGTCCAATAATATACATTATTATGGAGTGTAATACGGGTATATACATTTAGCTTTTTGATTTGTCTTTATTTACGTTAATATAAATGAAGATAGATATCTTATTATTGTCGTGTTGAATAATAATTAGTGGAAATATAATTTCTTAAATCTCCGTGAAGGATGGATTTGTTAGGATCTATTCTGAACTCTATGGAAAAACCTCCTACAGCGAGCAACAGACAAAAGGCATTAATAAAAAGTCAGTTGAAATTTAACCTTACCGTGTACATTCACGTTGTGATTAAGTGATTAACTATTAAGGATTTAACCATTTCATATTATGCAGAACAACAAGAGGAGTATCAAAAGCATCAAAAAGCAGAATCCGAAAGGTTGAAGAGTTTTCGAAAGAAGGTAAAAACGTTGTAAGAAAAAATGTATGTTATTGTTAATTGACTATTTCTCTGAATTCAAATGAAATCATAGGTGGAAGAAAAAATAAACAAATTTCTTCAGGATGACACCGCCAAAGAATACAAATTTCTTCCCATGGATCAGATTCACAGAAGTATAATGTATATAAAGAAATAACATTTACACTATGATATTGTTAATGCATTTTGAATATTTGATTGTTTGATTGTTAATAAAAATGGTATTTTGACATATATTTCTATTAGACACGACGTTGCTGAAGTTGCTAATGTTTGGGCATATTCATTTGGAGAAGAAGGCATTGATCGTTACATTATGATCTTCAAAAGGGAACACGCTCCTTCTGAAGATCAATTGAATACTCTCCGTAAGGGGGAAGAGTGGAACGAGGATGTAGCAAAAAGAATACAGGAAGAAAGAGAAAAACAAATAAAAGAGGAAGAAGAGTCATTAAACTCGAAGAAACAAATAGATAATTTTATTCCAAATAGTTACTATAAAGATAAATATCAGCATATAATTGGAAAAGAGGCGGCTTTGGAGGCTGCTAGAAAAACGGAAGCTAATAGCAACTATGGTTGTGGTAAGTAGCATCATTTGGTATCTAAAGGTTACCCAAAATTTAAGTAATATTCGTCATATTGTACGATAATGCATACTTTGTAGTACCTAGCGAGAATAAAAAGGATCAACGAAGTATAGAACAAACGTTAGCAGACATACGTGCAAAGAGAAGAAAGGTAGAAACAAATAATATTCCAACTGACGATAAAAAGTGAAAAAGCGTGTTGTAGTCTATAATTATATTGTTTCAATTTACATCAACTTAATTATGTTTTTAATCATCTTGTATATATATATATATATGATTATCTGGTTGTCACAGAGATCATAATTTTTGTCTCTCGTATGTATGATAAACGTTTATCGGATTAATGTTCTGACAAATAGCGTCAAATTTTTTTTTTCTTTAATATGTATTATAAATAAAGAGGCTTATTAATTATAAACGCAAGATTATCCATGAATATATATTATAATAATAGGCAGTGCTACAAACGTGTTTGAATATATTAAATTTTTAAAGTTAACATATAATTTATATCTATATAGACATTATTTATATACAGTATATTTATGTACATTATACAATATTTCAGTTGTATGAAAATATTTTTTGCAAAGCGTTAAAATTTTGTTTTCGATGATGCATCATTTAAATATATTCAGTGGATGAATATTTAGGTACGGAAGTCCTAGGTGCGGCTTTAGGTTTCACTGGAGAAATTGGTTCGAACACAATTTGTTCCTTTAATACTAAAAGACTAGTAAACTTCTGATTTGTTGCACTTTCGTATAACTCCAGAATTCTATTGACAATTATATCTCTGATATAAGCCGCGTTATCTTGTATAATTTGTCTCTGAAATATAGAATAAAAAAATTAAGTTAATGTCAAATGATTTGCGCATAAATTTGATAAGCGTTACATTACCTCTTGTTTTAATTTTGGATTTTTAAGAGACTCTGTTAAATATTTTACTTCTTTTCCTATTAATGATAAAAGAGCAGTATCGATTGTTTTCATAAGTTCCGGAGTAGCAATGCTAAGACAATTCTCAATAAAATTAATGCATAATTTAGAAAATTCTAGCGTATTATTGGTTAATGCGATCCAAAAATCATTCGTTAAATAAGCTTGTGGTACACCGATACTAAGATTATCCAATTCCAATAACAAATTTCGAAGATTTTGACTATTTTGCAAATTTGTCGGGCTCCACGTATCCTTTGCAATATTGGCCTCGAATGTGTCAATGCAATTGTCTCTAGTAACTAGTATAACTTTAGATAAAGGGGACCTAAGCTGACCATCTAGTTGATAACGAAAATCCATGCCTAGTTGTGTTAGCTATAAAATTATAAAAGATTTATTATTATAAATATATATATATAAGAAGACTAATGAATTAAAAATAATTACTCCACCTTAGGATAACCAGCAAATCCTTCATGATAAAAAAATAATACAATTTGCATTTACCTGGTCGCAGTGACTTCTAACAGCAACGATGCATTCAGCTAAAACGCTTAATGATACTTGCGGGATGAATAGCAAACTAGTCAAGTGCGACGTCAAGTATTTGATTTCTTGACTGCACCATACCACTAAACCTAAATGAGTAAATTAAAATCAATCGACGATACACGATACGATTACATAATAATTATAAATGGTCAATAATAATTTTAATAATAATACATTTTTACGCGCGACTTACCTGAGGTACAATTTGTAGTCTGTGGAAAAAGCTTTAAAAATTCTTTAGCCATTTCTGCTATATTACTGAAAGCAATTGCACTAAGTTGTCTTATATAAGGCACAATAGCACCTTCTCTCTTAACTCTTTTAATTCTTGCTTCCAGCATAGCACTACATAATCTTAAGTACAATTTACATCCTTGTGCACTACGATTTAATTGTATTAAAAGTCTAACTATACGCCGTGCGCTTCGTAAACCACCGCCTTGTAGCGATTTTGATTTTGAACTCAATTCAAGTTCTTTGATTAAAACATCGATGAGAGCACGTCCTCTCTCATTAACTTTTGTTTTAATTTCCAATAAAAGAGGAGTCATTGTCGTATCTTTTAAATATGTCCTAGCTCTTTCTAAAAGACTATAGGCATCTTCAAAGTGACGTTGTGCTATACAAGAATCTAAATCCTCAGCTACTTCTAGCATCCATTCGGGTGGAGGTTCATGATATTCCAATTCCTCTTCATCGTCTATACCTACAAAAAGAGAACAACACATATGATCATATATTTATAATAAGTAAACAGAGAATGATTTATATATTGGTAGACATATTTTTCACATATTATATAAATCATAATAAAAATGAACACACAACCTAATGTATTTGATTCCAAAGACATAGAACGCGACGGTATAGCTTGTTTTTCTTTAGAATTTGTATTCTTATCTGCATCATTACTACCATTTTCTTGTGCCAGCTTGGCTCTTTTTGCTTGTTCACATTTGTCCAACCATTCCTTCTGCAATAGATAATCTTTTGTAAATCCTTAAGTGTATTTAATAAATATGATTCTTGTATTACACTAACTTTACTTGTTGCAGTTGCACATTGAAATACTCTAGTATCTGGAAAGGCAAGTAGTTTAAATGCCAATTTCACTGTACCCAGATCTCTGATATTGACAATAGCTAAACTTTGTAAATTGTAGACAGCTTGCATCTTATATCTTGGTGGGCCCCTTTTGCCACCATTAGCTAACCAAGAGGCTATCATTAATACGTCATTGAATAAATAAGCATGAATTCTTTTCAATGGCATCCCATCTACTGGATCTAATTCTAGAAGAGAACCTTCGTGCAAGCAGACACGACCAGCAATTTCTGCTAAATTCTGTAGCAAAGCAAATAATTACAATACTCATCATAATATAGATTTATTTATATTTTTAATGAAATTAATTTAAAACGAACCATTGCACCTTCTACATTTTCAAGCAGTTGAATCAATTTTTGCTTTTGCTCTTGCTCTTTGGTAATATTATCATTGTTATTGTCTTGTTGGGATTCTGATAGATCTTCGAATATAAGGCCAGTAGTTCTTGTAGAACCAAGTGTGCTTAATAAGGAACGTTGCTCGCTTAATAATTGGGACAACTGATACATTTCACTTTCTAAATGAGAAATTTCTTTTGCTGTTTCTATAAATTGCATATAATTTTGATAGACATTGCGCTTTAGCGAAGCAGAAGTATTATTGGCAAGTTCCTGAATTTTTGCACGTTGTTGTCTAAGTTCATCTGCGCCAATACATTGTGCGCTGAGATCCTTAACAACTGAAAAGATATTACAGATGCATGTTAAACATCAATACTATGTATTATTAAATACATAGTAATATAATTACAAATCGTAGGATGTATCCTTCAATAAGATATATAAAAGTAAAATATAGAAATGTAGTTATGGAAAATAGATCCCTTACATTTTTCCGCATTAAAATCTTCTACTGCAAAAGTTTTAGCTAAATTTTCTGCCATCATATTTTCCACTTTATTAGTTTGTCTTCTTGTTGCTATTAATAATTACATTAATTGTACGATTGTGTTTTGATGTACTACAGATAAAGAGAGTTTATTTTGTTTGAAATACACAAATTCATGTCCACCCTTTCCCTCTGCCACATTCACTCACACTTTATCTACCTATTTTTGTTTTTGTTTTTACGATGTCGATACTTGTTAATAAAATGTACAATTTTCTAACCTATCGAATTTGGTTATATTCGATATCTGACATTTTTCATACTGAGGTGTGTGTATATAATTGCGCATGCGCGCGTTACGTACTTATGCAAATGTATGTACATTAATGTCAATAATTTAACTAAAAAAATTGTTTTAATAATTATTAAACAATCAGAATTTAGTTAATTTTGATCTTATATATTTCAATATGTTTAGTAAGTGTTGCACAAGCAGCGAAAAATATTATGAACATTAACATAAGTTAATGACTATGAAGTTTCTATAACATAACATAGATGGCGTTTATGACGTTTATAATGGAAAAAATGGCAGTAGAAAAATTGTAAATCTATTACAATCAAACATATTCTTCTCTCTCTCTCTCTTTCACTGTAACTAAAAACATTGTTGTACAAGGGCCAGTTGCATGTTGCAAAATTAATTAGAGGGCATTGAATATGATGAAAAAGCTAATAATTTGAAGGACGATATGCACGCTATCATCGTATGACATTGAAAAGAAAAAAAGACAATGTATACATAAAATTTAAGGAGGAAAACATTTTTTAAATCCTTACTTTTTTTTATATCATACGTTATTAACAATAACAACTTTGAATCATTCATTCTAATATACAAATATGCATGATACGTATGTCACGTATGATTTTTCAACGACAATATACATGCATCTCTATCCTATCAAGACGAATTAATTATACATTGAAAGCGTAAATATTATAATAATGAATAATTTTTAATAACGATGAAGAATATTTACATATTTACAAGCACATAAAGACTTACAAAGTAAAACATATATATATATATATAATCTATATAGGGATATTAACGAACTGCTTCGTAGAAGCACGAAGCAGAGGAGAATTTGTACGATATGCAATATCGTACATCGATTCCATTACTAAAGACTTTTACGTTCGTCTTAAAGAATAATTTGACTTATTATTATCATTAGAAATGATCCTTATTCTATCCTTAGAAAGATAATATTGAAAGAAACGTTATATAAGAAAACGGCGACGTAACAGCAGAATCGACCTACGAAATTTTGCTTCTATTTTATTTTAACAAACAATACAACATCACATATAAATATCATATTTCTGCTATCTTTCATTACTTACTCACTAACATATTACGTAAATAACATTTGTTGTGTTGCTATTATCAAATACAAAATGATAAATCATGATGCGCATAGAAAAAGTCATATAAGATGTTAACCGATAAAATACGATCGACATGTAGTATAATATTATAAGATATCACGTGTTATACATTTTTCAAATGAATCTTTAAGACGAATTTCAATAGATCATCTATCTTACAATTAATTTGCATTTCTATGTGTTTCTTCTTATTCGAGATGAATGATAAAACGATTTCAATATAATAGTACATCTCATGCGATTCTCTAATAGTTGCTTTTTTTCGATTATGTAAGATTTGCATAAAAGAATTACAATCGATACGGTTTGTACAAAGGAAAAAAAAAAAAGAACTGACACGAAAAGAAAATAATTGCAGGTTAAAGGTACGCACAAGTAAGTAAGTACCTATATATAGTTTGAATGATTTAATTTGGACCATCGTTTAACAGCGGTACGAAAAGAAGAAGTACTTTTACTTTAGATATGTCGAAGGAGATTATATATGGATTTTCTTTTTTGATCATTCTTTTTTTCTTTAATCTTTTTTTGTTTTACCAGTTTTCACGCGTGCACGTTAATACATTTAGAGCCTAGAACGTAGGTGTACGTAAGTAAGTATATTATTAATACTTACTTCCACTTATCGCGATTAAGCGCGCACGGAGCTAGAGTTAAGTATTAGCTCACGCGATTAAGTATATATATTGTAATGATACTAATAGATATAAGGGTATGTGTGGGGTAAAAGATTGAATACGATAGATACGATGGAATGACAAATATATCTCGACGCAGTCGTTTGTTTATATTACTATAGTATAATATTTTCTGACTTGACGCGCCTCGATGGCTAGGATCTGGGGGGGTTGACGGTGAACTTTTTTATTATTATCGCATAAAAACGACTCCTATGTTCAAAAGGAGGAGAATTTTCCATTTCAATAAGACCTTGGCTGAACATCCTAAAATATACATCATATATGTCGACCTTATAATATTTTCTTTAATCATTCATAATAGGAGGTGTTAGGTTTTTCTTACCATTGATCAAATCGTTGCGAATATGACTTTGTGCTCTGGTTTCGCGGCTCTCCATTACAGGAGCTTTCAAAATTCGTTCGTCTCCTTCAACGCTTTCCTCGTTGCTTTGAAGATAAACAGCAGCTATCGTAGCTAAGCATTTAAGCTTCATGTCGCCTCTTTTAAAGTGTTTGCTGGCAACTCGAAATTCCAAGCCTAAAACAGCCGTTTCCAATCCTCTCACGTCGATAGCTGTAATATGTGGACCTTTTAAGTAGAGCGCGTCGGCCTGTTAATGCGATCGTATTCGTTATTCAATATTCGTTGTTCGTTGTTCTCTGTTCATTGTTCATAATCGTTGTTCGCTATTTCAAATGAATGCTTTTGGAGACTTACGGGTTCGCCGTTAATGAACCACGTCAATAAAGCAGCTGGTTTCGAGGGCGCGGATGTACAATTTAGACGGACGACGTCGCCGACCTGATATCTCGATCGACCACCCGATATTAGTGGACCTTCATTCGGTAGGACTGAAAAGGCAAAATACAAAGGACGAAACGAGATCAAATAAGAGAAGAAACTTTGGAAGAAGTTGACTCACCGACTACCGTCATGTCAGCGTGCTCGGAAACTGTTTGAAAAGCTGGCGCTTCAGCCGACACTTCGCATCGATACCTTCCGGAACTGGAAAGATCCACGTTGTTTAAAACGACTGATCTTTCTGTCGAATGATGCGCCTGAAAGTCGGTAAGAAGATATTTATATACAACAATGCTCGTTGCAGTTATAGACTCTGCCTAAATATATTACTTTTAATAATTCGTTTTTATATAAATGCATTAATTAATAGTTATTAGTAACACACGTTGACGTTTACACCGGCGACGGGAAAGATTTGTACCATTGGCTCGTCTTTTGGAACGTATCGATAAAATTCATGACCATCTTTGTACCACTTCACCGAATACAGCAGCTCGTTATCCAGACTAAAGTTGCACTGCATACGAATGGTTTCGTTGAAAACTACGTGTTGCGGTATCTGTAGCGTTGTCATACGAAGAGCCGTTATATCTGTAACGAACGTGCATTCAATTGCACTTAATCAAATCAATTTTCTTGAAATATATATGTGTACACTTGCGTAAGTAGATACTTGCATACTGTGCAGATAATACCATGTAAGCTAGTATTTACCTATGTATACCGATTCTCCAAGAGAAGAGATATTATATATAGATATATCGAATAAGATACATTGAAATAAGATTTAATCGTTTTATTAAAATAGGTCAAATAAAGGAAATTCAAGTTCATAGAAATTCAAGTTATAATTAGAATGCTCCTAAGCAACTAAAGATTTATTTACGATCGTCTAGGTCTTTTCTATTGTTAATGTGAAGGATAAAAAATTAAACTTACAAGTAGACCCGTATTTCATGGAATATCGTGTTCTAATGTATCATATATGTATCTTATATGTATCATATAAGAAGCTTTTATATGTATGTACAATTATGAATTGATATCTTTAGTTTGATGATCCGTAAGGATAAAAAAATGAATATTAACGTCTATCGTTCGATTGTTTTTTTTTTTTTTTTTTTTTAAATTATTTATATAAGAAGACATATATAGTAATAATCTAAAGGAAGGATGCTTTTACGATAAACGATTGATTAGTCCATCTAATTAGAGAAAACGTGCAAACGAACCTGAATAAATGTGTAATAGGGAGAGAAGAATGAATCTCGAGGGTAGGAGCGTGCGAAACGAGTCCACGTAGCGCAGCATCCTCTCGCGAGTGCTTCTCGTTCTCCAGGACGGTGAGTCGTTAAACCGATCATGGACTTTCCCACAAAACAATCTTTCACGATATTCTTACTCTTTCCATGGCTCCAACGTAGCCTTTCTCTTTTTCGTCTTTTCTTATTCTTTTCGAGGACATTAACGCCAATGTGCGCGTCAACAACGTTCACGTCCACGTTCACGTCCACGTTCACGTCCACGTTCACGTCCACGTTCACGTCCACGTTCGCGTCCACCTTTTCGGCCTCGTATCGAATCGATCCAAGTTTACTCGAATTTGGATAACACGAGAAGGATCGCCGATAAAAGACTTTTGGGGCTTTTAAATGTTTCTTCTTTCTTCAGGGTAGCACATGATTTTCTTCTTTATTGGTCGGCCCACTTGACTAATTGAAAATCTATATATGTATGTACAGAGTTGCGTTATACGGGTTTCCACCTTCCGCGGTAAGCAGTGTCGGTACTGCGGCATCGGCGGAGCGACCGCCAAATAGAAGAGGAGGTGGTAAAGCGGGACACGCGACGACCACTGCTGCTTTTGCTTGTTGGCGATGGCGATGGTGATGGTGATGGCGATGGCGATGGCGATGGCGATGGCGATNATGGCGATGGCGATGGCGATGGCGATGGCGATGGTGATATTGATGGGGTGTTGGTGGTGGTGGTGCGTCCGCCACCGCCTCCGCTGCTACCGCTACCGCTACCGCTACAGCAGTTGATGGTGGTAGTTCGCGAAGGTAGCGACGCTTCTACCCGGGAATAGAGAGAAAGAGAGAAGTAAAGAGTCGGCTTTTGGTTCGTTCCTAGGCGACTGCGCCGTTCTCCAAGTCGATGATCGTTGCAAAATCTTCCCTCTCTGTCCCTCCTTCTATCACCAGGGTGAGAATGAGTTTTCCTATATAAATACATATGTAATTTTACGTTTACTCGAATATAGGTTTTGTTTTGCTATATCGAACGCTATCCGATCGGATCACATTATCATGCGTTGATTTTAACACGTTAAGCGCCACGCCGAATTTGCGTGCCTTTCCGTTCAGGCCACAGTTAGCCGTCAGGCGGGCTCTGCCGGGCCGCTCGCCGATAGGCGAGCCAGAGTATAAACAAATGTCGGGTAACGTAATCCGGCCGGGGCTTGCCTTCGTATGTTTACCTCTCCACTTGTAGATAAGATGCACTCGAGAGCCTGACATTTTCAAATCGCAATAAATACTTTGTATATACTTTGTTTATATCCGTATAGTCCCTTCTCCGTCGTAGTAGAGAAAAACCCGAAAAGCGAGGCCTAATAACGCCCAAACGCGTAAGAAATCCTCAGTTGCATAGATGTCCTTGAAGCATTGACCAAACTAAAACCGATATCGCATAATTTAAATGTTCAGTCTCACAAGTATGCAAAGACGGACACACGCGCCGCGATAGAAGAACGAAAAGTCTGCCGTCGGTCCCTAGGGACCGACGTGGCCTGAACGGAAAGTCTAGCGTCGGTCCCTAGGGACCGACGTGGCGCTTAACGTGTTAACTAAATATCCCTAAATAGCTATGTTTAACATTACGTTTAAATAATAATCTCATTTTTTTTTTTAATATAACGCGATTAACCTTGTGAACGCACGCACGCACGCACGCACATGCATCATTTTTCGATGTAAGAAAATGCAACAATTATACATAATTAGAACATTTAAAGGATATAGCAAGATGATAATAAGTATGCATATTAGTAAATATGAAAAGTGAATTTGATAAGTGGCAAGTTTAGACGATTATTATCGCTTTTAGATCGACAATAATGATATATTGGTCGAATATACGATGTGTACCTAATGTGTACAATGGCTTTTCGGTAATGTTCCCTTAGCTATATGTGTTAGTATGTAGATAGTTAAGTGTGGGAACCTATCTACCTACACGCGTTTCCGCTACATCCACTTGTTGCAAAAATGATGATAAACTCGTTATCGAATCTACTCCTCGTATTATTATCTATTTCCTTCAAATCAAGTTGCATACATGATACAGCCGCTCTATCGACCTACTATCGTCTTGATAAAACAAAATCTCGTTGACTTTAAAGATCAGTTTCTACCTGTGTACTACCTATCGTCTTAATAATAGCGAAAACTTGAATCAGGTTGAAATTTCATGCGAGTGAAAAGTAAATTAAAAGACAATTAGTAGATGTTCCTTATTTAACAAGTTCAAATCCTTCAATTAGGGCAATAAAAAATGACTCGATTTATACATACCCCCTGTTAGGCCGAGGGTTACAGGAAGATAGGGAGGGCGTGGAGCGCGTGTGCGAAACAGAGAGCTAAAGAGATGAGAGGTAGATCGACTAACGATCCCCACCGAATAATTGGGGTACCAGTTGCACGCGTCAGGATGAATTTTATCCCCTGAAGGCAGCAGCAGCAGCAGCAGCAGTAGCAGCAGCAGCAGCAGCAGCAGTAGCAGCAGCAGCAGCAGCAGTAGCAGCAGCAAGCAGTCTTACGAACTCTCCTCACCGCGTCCGACCACGTATTCGTGATTTCGTCCGTATAATAAGAGATTGCTTCTTCTCGCAATACATTTAGACAATACTTTGTGCGAAAAAAGTCGTACAGATATATCTAGTTCGATTAATCGATCCACCGACGCGTTTACTTATATAGATGTAGAAAGAAACACGAGTATAGTTAATAACACGATAACATACATGAAGATGATGATTTCATAAATTAACTTATCGAATAACGATTGAAATCAATGCGTTAAACGCGTTATCGCCGTAATTATTTGGTTATTAATTAGATTTGAGAGAATGGACGATATTAACTGTATAGGCAGGTAGATACGCGTATCCACCTATAGGTATATATAATATATCTACTTATCAATAGATTACTGACTGATACGAATATACAAGTATTTATTATTACATATGACGAATCAAATCGATTTCGCTAGATTTTCGATAGATTAAAGAATAAAAATAAGGAATTTCAATGATTTCACAGGCTTGGAATTCTTCGAACACCAGGTAGAAGCGATACGCAAGACGCATGCGCTTATTTATTAGCGCGACCGAAAATCGATATTCGCCCTCTCGTTTGCTCCCTAGGCTAATATTTCTTTCGACTTGGTCTTTTCGTAAAATTTTCTTCTGCTTACAACCGAGAATCTATCCTAGCCCATTCCTTTCATTCCTCTCATTCCGATCATTTCCAATGCAAAATTGATCTTGGAATTTATCGAAATTTTATTAGATAATTTGAAGAGTAAATGAATTCATATCTCTAATATGTATCTGATATCGTTAATATCGTTAATATCGTTAATATCGTTATATTAACTACTATTGTACTATAATCGAAATGAAATGGTAAAATTTAGAAAAATATTACCAAGTATACCCAACCTTCTTCCTCTAAGTCGTTTTGATCAATTGGAGTTGTTCGTTCGAACGATTGGATATACTCTTACATATGAATATCATCGTACGACATAATTCCGCCCGCGCAAGCTTTTTATTCTCTCGAACGTTTTTCGATCGAGACATTTCTCGCGGTAAATACGAGAGTAAGAAAGGTAAGAGGTATGGCGTCTACGATATACCAAAGTATTTAATAATTGCTTAAATGAGCCAATTTTGCTGCGATCCCAAATTTACATTTTCAATCGGATTGAAAATAGAAATCAATGCATTTCATTTTATTGATATAATCAGCTCAAATAATCAGTTTGAAATAAGAATAGATGAGTTCTAGTCTCGTTTAAATTCGGTTCACCCCTTGATGTATTTTCTATGTAGGTACGTATATATAAATATATGTATATATATATATATACGCTATATGTACACTAATATGAGCATAGTTGAGATATATAGAGGGATATATAGATATGTATGCAGCGCATTTGTATACGTAGCATACTTGCAAAAGTATAAGTAGTCGTGTTGCGTAAGTAGATACTCGAGGAATATTACAGATGCTTATGCGAGCATGAAACCCGCTCATAAAATGAGCGGTCTTTGCGTATATAGAAGATGCCATAGACATCAAAATATTTCCGATGAAATGACCTGCATTTAATGGAACGAGAGGTGCACAAGAAAATGTTCGTTGTAATTATGCGTATCGTGTCTTTGATATAGGAACGAATATTTGTTTTTTTTCTTTTTTCAAACTTCATCCAAATTTCGTTGTTTATAAACGTTTTATCTCTCGTCGTAAATAATGCATGCGAAGAAACAAGTAGGACGTTGCTTTCGTTTTCAAATGAAACAAATCTATAAAACAAACAAAAATAGCATCCGCAAAATGATAGAATCCCCGTCTTCTAACTTCGTCATAGCTATATCGTCGCGTTGTGACATACTTATTGTTAGTATAACATACATACCTACGTCAACGAAAAAATATCCTTTTTTTTTTTAACGGTAAAGTATGACGCACATTGCATGAGACAAAACGTTCATAAATATCCTTGTAGAAATGATAGGCGCATTACTAGAGAGAGCCAGTCGAAACCTAATTGTTATACGAAAGCGACACTTCTTCCAAGGATAAAAAGAATCAACTAGCAGCTATAGCTTTATATATATATAGGCTATATATATATATATAATATATTTTAGCAAAAAATAATGATTGAGCGGTGCGTTCCACAAGCTTTCTTAATATTGATTGCATCGTAAAAAAAACATTTGTTTGATTCATCGTGAATGACAATCACTTGTAGTGGTTTCTTCCTGGTTATGCGACTATAACGAATTAAACGAAACTTTGAGTAGGTAATCTTTCTTTTTTCTAACAACAATATTCGAACAAAGAAAGATAACAAAAGTTGGCGCAAAAAATGTAAAAGTAAAATAAAAAGGATCCGGTACGGAAGGAAAGAAGGAAAGAAGGAAAGAAGGAAAGAAAAGAAACGAAAAAAAAGAAAAGAAGAAAGGGAGGGAGAGAGAGAGAGAGAGAGAGAGAGAGATGGGGCAAAGACTCTATGCATTTTCCGTTGGGAAGACACAAAGTGGGTCATCTCGAGGAAAAGTAAAGTCCGTAAAAGCGAGAAATGCAAAAGTAAAACTATGAAACACAGCGAGAAAAGTAAGGGAAACGAATGGATAGACGATAGGAAAGGAAGAAGAAACGCTTCTCGTCTAAATAGCTCCAAATGATTATGATGATGATAGTAGATACTTGTGATTCTCGTCTTGTTCTCTCATCAAATATGATACCGTGCAATCTTTTCCCATCTCGTTAGGATTTTTCACGCATAAGTCGTCCCCTTTGATATTTTTTAATAATGATAATTACAAAGATAAATATATAAATTGCCATACGATCAAATTATTCATGAAATAAATGAAGTAAACGATTTTCTTGAGAATCATATTTCTTTAAATAGGCGGTATCTAGTATCTAGAAACCTATAGAAGACGCGCTAATCGAAGTACTTTCCTCGCATTCTATAATGAAAATTGGGCAGCTGCTAGCTCTTGTAGATTCAGTCTTTAGCTTGCGCGCACGCACGCACGCACGCACGCACGCACGCATGCACGCATGCACGCACGAGGAATAGGAAAATACATACGAGCAGATGCTCGTGCCCAACTAATTGCCCGCCCTCACTCGCCTCTTTCTTTCTTCTCCCTCAAACGCGAGCGATATTTGAAAAAGTTTCCCCCAAGCTATTACCTTTGCGCACGGACAGCGCATACTTAGCACGATTATCACGATTCTAAGTTGCGATTATTTTTCAAAATAATAATATTAACTACAATTTATTATAAAAATGAACGGAACATATATATAGTATTTACATAAGCGATTGAATCAATAAAAGTTAAGTAGTTCATTGTCATTAGTTAATTAAGTATAAGCTAAACAACGATTGTCTAAAAGTACAATCAAGATTCAGTAAAGAATTAAACTTTGTTCGATATTGAGTTTGCATAATTGCATATTCTTCTAATGGGGTCAGTAAATCTAAGATTACAATAATAAAAGTCAACACGGAAGATCAAAGTGTGACGTGGGGAGACGTGAATTAATATTGAATTGAATAAACTGAAATAGTGTTGCGGCATATTCGATATGATCATTAAGCTGAATAAAGCATGATAAAGTTGACAAATTTGGGCGTTATACTAAGCATTTACTAAGCATTTACTAAGCATTTACTAAGCGTTACTCTTCTCGTTGTATGGTTCAACAAATTATCGAAAAATTCCAATCTTTTAAATGGAACGAATGGACCTTTTGGGGTAATTGTACGAAATGCGGGTTCTACGAGATGCGCGAGCTAAACGAGGGCAGGAAATAAAAGCGCTACAAGAGACTCGTTCAATCGACTTGCGCGTCTATACGGGCAATAGACGTATAAAGTATAGTTTCGCCCTAAAAGGATCTTTAAAGTGCTCGTAAGAACCCTAAACGAAGCAGCTACTGTTCTCCATTAATCTGAAGCATTCACAAATCGCGAGCAAGTACGCTATCGCGAATAATCGAGTTGCGCATTAAATAGATTTATTTAATAAGAAGATAATAGATATAGACATTAAGATAAGACATTAAGATATCAATGCATATTAGTTTAATTATTTAGATGTGTAACGCTGTGCATTTCTATGATTACTACAATATATTATATAAATCAAAGTTTCTGTTGTTAAGTAAGAGAGAGATGCGTCAGATGTGGTGACATACGCATGCGTGAATAACAAAGCGCCTGCCCAAAAACTTACAAATCTCTTATTATAAAGATCTATGTACATTGAATGTACCTGTCCGCGCTTTTCGGTATATGCACCTTAATGCACCTTTTCCATTTGACATAACATTAACTTAACTCGATTATTTTTCATTAGGTTAGTCTTAACTTTAGCATGGAAGCGATGTTTCCTTCCTCTTGTATGCGTTACCGATTACCTTCGACCATATATTCTATATGTATATATATATATATATATATATATATATGCATTTATGGAACTATACATGGAATTGAAATAAAATAACAAACGAAATATAGGTGTGGTCGAGGTACCTAATTACTGAGGTACCTACGGATGGCTACTAACTACTGTTCGAAACGTCGATGACAAAAGATGTGAACAAAAAGAAAAATTGGTAGCAGAACTCGAAATTGCAATATCGAAAAGATGACAAGGAGAAAGGGGAACGAAGGCGAATATGCCCTCGGCTGGTGGTGATGGTGGTGGTGGTGGTGGTGGTGGTGGTGGTGGTGGTGGAGGCATCGGCGGCGTTGGCGTCGGTTCTAGAGGCAAAAGCCTTCTTGGCGGCCGGTATTTCCGCGCGACGCGTGTCCGAGTTCGCATGATCGTCGTCGTCGTTGTCATCGTCGTCCTGGCTACCGACGTGAGTTATCCGTTTATCGTGCTTGCAGCTTCGTGTTCTCAACAGAGGTCAAGGAGAATATTTTGGCGGTAAAGCGCACCAGTGCAAAGTGCGCGAGCGCGCGCGCTCACCAGTGTCAGTTGGCAGACTAGATACGCAGAAAAGAAAAGAAAAAAAAGAAAAAAGTCTCGATGACCGACGCTCCCGTTATCTTGGTGGATGTCAAAGGGCAACGTACGACCTGACTAGAGCTGTGCCAGGGCCGTGCCAGGGCCGTCGTGCCAGGGCCGTCGTGCCAGGGCCGAAGCTGGGCTCGCCTCGCGCTGGCGCGCGACGTTCTCCTCGTCATCGCCATCGTCATCGCCATCGCCATCGCCATCGTCATCATCATCGTTTTTGTTGTTATTATCATAACTACTAACATGGATTGGCATAACAAACTCGGACCGATCTTTCTTTTATTCCTCTTTGCTTTCGGCACCGAGGGTAAGTTACTAGTCCATCTATCCGCCTGCCTCGCCCTAATTCCTTGCTCTTCTTTCATCTTTCAATCGGTTCTTTGTCGAGCTTCCCTCCGACGGAGGATGCAACTCGGCGCTAACGACCTGCACATGTATATATACAGCATACATATATATATATATATATATATATATGTTAGCTCCAATTTTAATTCAATTTACAAGCACGATTCTGGAAATGTGTAGATAAGCATGTGTACACATTAATTGACTCGTCAAATTTAAAGAACTAAAGAATTCTGTTGGAGACAGATGCGGTTTTTAACGAGAATAATTGCTTGTCCTCTATTTCATCCTCCGACATAGCTAATTTTTGCCAAACTTTCAGACGAGTGTTATTCATAAAATAGTATTTTTAAAAAAATTAGATTGAAATCGTAAAAAAGCTATGGGTATGTGGGCGTCATTAAAATCATTCGCGAATAATTATTGTTAATTACAAGCTCGAGAAGAATGGCGAGCGTATTAGCAGCAGAAATCGAGTATGCGCGAGAGATGACAAATGAAACGATAGGTGTAAGTTGGAAAAAAATGAGCGAACCGAAGAGAATGATCTTTCTCGTGATACACATTTAGATTGTAAAGACATTTCTTTTATTCCACTTACGAATATTAGTCCTGTTGTATTACAATGGTTTTCTCCTCATTTAAATACCTATTTATTTATYGAATGTCCACTTATAAGAGTCGTAAGATATAGCACCACTATTATGAGTACTATCTCGATTAATATTCCAGGAACATTACGGGTTTACGACTGTATGCGCACGTTCGCATCGTCTAATCCTTGAATTTCGATGCGACTCAAGCACGTTACGAACATTACCTATATCTTTACACTGTTCCTGCCTTGAGAGCCTGTTTTTTCAACAGGATCCTTATTATACACCATTTCAACGATCTTACAATGATTTATTAACGAATTAATAACGAATTAATAACAATCCCATCCCCAACCCCCATATTTTATTAATAATGGTTACTTTCAACTCGAAGCAAATTAGCTAAGTTTACCATTAAATCAAACATTTTTCAATTCAAAACGATTTTATCCAATTAAAAAGCAGGAAAGCATTTTCCTTCTCTCTCTCTCGTCGTGGCCGTGTCCGGTCGAAGGTAGGATGGTCATCGGACCATCTGTCGTAGGTTTCAAATGCACGCGATGTACCATGACGTTGGAAAAAATAATTTGATAGCGTGCGTCTGTTTTTAATATACGCTTTCATATGTGCTTTTCATCAACAGATATATAGATAAATAGATATATTGGTTACTTTATCGTTGAGAAAGTGAAAAAAGATACAATACTACGTTCTCTCTGCGAACGTAGAAGAAGACAGAAAATTGCCGATCCTAGACTTACGCCAAATAATCTCATCAAATTTGTTATAGGCAATGCAATGAACGCGCTGAATTGCGCTTTTATACGTTGGACGAGTCGAGCAATTCTGTTGTCTATTTATTAAATAAACGTTCAAGGTGCACTGCGAAAGCATAGAAACACTCCTTAACTCGAGAAGAGAAGTATCTTATGAAAGATAAATCGTCAAGATAAAAAGTCAAGTTCATAAATACATATATATTCAATTGGCGCATTGAATCGATTTGAAATGCAAAAATCCGATTGAATGTGGATCAGATGGAAAAGCGACAAAGGGATAAGGTTTTCGTCGATACGTCTCGAAGGGTTCTTGCTAAAACTTGTAACTCTTATCAATGATTGCCGATAACGAAAACGCATCAACGATCCATTCTTATACTCGCACGAAAGATTATAGATTTGATCGAGGACAGGAGCGATCGGTTTTGCGGATGCGTCGTATCCGGTAATTTGACTATTGTCGATTGTATCCGACGATACCACGAACGTGGGTGGGTGCACGACGCAAGTAGAACATTGCGCGCGCGACGGCCCTGTTGCCCCTTATACTATTTCAATCAAAATTTATTTCGTGAAAAAAAACATTGGAAAAAAGCAAATTCGTTGGTTTGTTCGCACGTTCGAGTCTTTGCGCACACGAGTATCGATTTCCGGAAAAAACCTGTCCCTCTAATCTGTCATTTTCTTCTTTTCCTGTTTCTTTCACGGACATAAAAAGAATACTGAATCGTTTAACATTTTTTATATCCTCCTTCCTGTTACTTCCTGTAGCAAGGAGCACAAGGTGTCGTTGGTCATAGTAGTGATAGTTTGTACGATCATACAGTTAGTACGATTGAAAGGACAAATTAGATAAATTTACCAAGATCATTCGTTTTTAGTTACCGCGATAAATACTATCAGTAATATAGTAGAAACGAGGGGATAATCTATTTTGCAACAAGAAGATAGGTGAGAACTAAATCTTTTCCTTTTTTTCTCCTTTATTTATTCTCCCAGGGTGGATGCGTCGCGTGAAATACTTTTTCCTACTTTTCCAAACTTTATCCACGATCGTGAATCTTTTGATAAAAAGGCACGAATGCCTACAATATATTTGCTTTTGGCATGATTTACGACAGTCTTGCCGGTTACGCGTGCCCTATATCCCATCTCTTTCTTTTTTAAATGCATACGCAAAAGATATTCGCACAACCGCTCCAAAGTGTAGTTATAATGGTAAAAGGAATAATCAGAGAAACGAAGTTATATGTCGTTGTTAAGGTTTCTCGTTTTTACACGTTCGGCAGAGAGAGAGAGAGAGAGAGAGCGAGAGGGAGAGAGCGAGAGGGAGAGAGAGAGCTCGACCCTTTCTTTCTTTCTTTCTTTTTTTCTTGGGATGTCACGACCCTCTCGCGACCCTCCTACGACCCTCCTACGACCCTCCTCCTATAACCCTCGTGCAACCCTTGTGAAAACGACACGCGACACCGCTTGCCCTCTCTCGCGTAACGCAGCCAAGAGTTAGCCGATGAGACCCGCAGATGTTTGGCTTCGCTCTTCGACCGGTATACGATTACTTTGTAAAGTAATACCAAAACGAAATTAAGCGCGACCAAGAATCGAAACGACAAGGACTGCAGCCTAATGACGCTTCCTCTTCTCTTTACTATCCTTTTCTTAGGAGTAGCTCGAGTTTGCTTCTGTATTTCCTATCCAGGAAGTCCGGTCGATCAAGTTTACATAAAATATTTTTGACCTGCCTCCCCTCGATCCTCCCCTCGATATTTGACCTTAAGATAGGGAGATCGATAGTTGTCGACAGCACGAAAATGCGTTATAAGCGTGTACTCCGACTTTCTTTAAATTAGATACGCGTGATCTCGGTCATTTGGCATTCGGATAAAAATCTACTTCTACACGTACCTATTTATCAAATCATCTTAATTTTATAAGTAATTCTACTATTATTTTGCCTACATTTTAAAAAGGAGACAATATTATTCGAGAAGAGCAAAGCTTTTACTCGACCGTCGAGTAAACCGTCGGTATTCTCGATAATATCACGAGTTTAGATCATCGATCCTTAACGGACAATTAACTGGGAGCATCAACATTACCGTCTGTTTCTGGACAAGCTGATTAATGCGTTTCTCGAATAACGACAAAACAGTAGAAAAATGGCATTGTTTTCCGGTGACCTCATAGTCCAGCGACGATTACTCATACCTATTAACCGTTCGTTAGTCGAGGGCTCTTTTTTCTCTTCCGACGCGACATCCTTTTTTCCCCTTTCAATTCAACGCATTTATTAAAAAAACATTTTCTCCCTTTCCAATCGTACATATTTTGACTAATAAGAAGAATAAAATGAAGAAAATGAAGAAAATGAATGAAAAGAGAGAGAGCAGAAAGGCAAAGAGAAAAATGAGAAGAAGGATGGATGAATGGATAGAGAGGTATAACGAGTGCTATACGAGAGTGCTATACGAGTGCGTATATAGAGGTATGATTCATTCTTGGTGCGTTAAAAATGATAACTCATGCATATTGAACGACGACGACGACGACGACGACGACGACAACGACAGGGGTTGGATCGTTCCGTGAGTCAGTCGAACACGCGCCTCTGGCAAAAAAAAGCGAGAGCCCATTGCTTAGGTATTGCTCCTGCTTGCCTGCTTTCCGATCTCCTTCTTGACTCGATTGCTGACTCGATTGCTGACTCGATTGCTGACACGATTGCTGACTCCGAGTTCTCGACGAACAAGACGCACGCGTTTTTTCCACTCGCAGTTGACGGGGTTCTGTTCAGTAACATCTTCGCGATGTTATTTCTATCTTCATCTTGCTTCTCTGCAACCGTAATAATAGATAGCATACAAATAATGCTATTACGTTTTGGTCAAGTTGAAAAAAAGTTCATCCGATTAATGTCAAATCAGATTATTAATCGCGTTGCTGGTTGACAATGTATCCATTAAAAGAAAATATGCTTACTACTCGAGTAGACACACATTTGTATACATTTGTATCCATTTGTATCCATTTGTATTCATATGTATGCATTTGTATGCATTTGTTTTAGAAGTACAAGCGCTCAGGATGCTGGAACTTGTTATACCGCAATACGTGGTACGAGGACAGAACATACGTCTCGAGTGTAGCTTTAACCTGGACGGTGAAATACTCTATTCGGTTAAGTGGTACAAAGATGGCAACGAATTTTATCGATACGTACCTAGGGATATGCCACCTGTATTGGTTTTCTCACTTCCCGGCGTTACCGTCGACGTAAGAATTCTGCTTTTTGCTTTCTTCTTTCTTTTTTTGTTTTCTTCCATACGATATGCACACATATTACATACGTGCATATTATATTTGTTTCATTATTATTTTGGTGTTTCTGTCATTTAGATACATAACTCTACCGAACGATCGGTCGTTCTTTCTTCCGTTAATCTAATGAGTTCTGGGAGATATAGGTGCGAAGTCTCGGCGGAAGCACCTTCCTTTCAAACAGTATCCGATCATTCGGATATGATGGTAGTCGGTAAGTACTTTAGCACCCATTTCATCTAACAAATATAATTTTAAATTAAAAATAAAAATCTAATTTTATGTTTTTAGCTCTACCCGAAAATGGACCTGTTATCACAGGTAGACCTGGCAGACGTCGCTATCAAGTATCGGACGTTGTGCGATTCAATTGTACGTCGGCTAAATCGAAACCAGCCGCCATGCTCAGTTGGTTCATAAATGGCGAACCTGTAAGTAAATGAAATTTCTCCTTGATGAGAAAAAATGCAAGAGTGTGTATATTATTCCTTTGTCGATCAGGTCGATCCGCAATACCTAAGAGGACCTCATATCACTGAGGTAGACCGCGAGGGTCTAGAGACTGCCGTACTTGGTTTGGAGTTTCGTTTGCGTACGAAGCACTTTAAGAAGGGTGACATGAAGATCAAATGCCTGGCGACGATAGCGACCGTATATTGGAAATCGAACGAGCTCAGTATAGAGGGTGAAAGGCCCTTAAAGATGCCGGTAATGGAGAGTAGAGAGACAAGAGCGCAAGGCCATACACACGCCGAACACATTTTAGGTAAAATCTGTTTTACAATAAATATCATTATAATCAAAGTTATTGAAATATCTTAAAATAATCGAATATACTCTCTCTCTCTCTCTCTAATCGATATTGTTGCAGCCAGTGCAAATATCAAATCCGTAGGATCGTCCCTGTCGCTATTAACCCTAGGATTGTTTATACTCCGGTAAGGTCGAAGGATATCCTTACGTATTTTCGATTCCGCCTCTACCCCTTCCCCCACCTTCCCATCCACCTTTCACCCCTCCTTCGCCGCCCCTGATGTCGGATCGCTGTAAAATTATCTATCAAATGATTGATCTTGTTTATATTTTTCTATCGTTCAACATTTATTGCTAGCAAAGCTAGTGTCGCGTAAAGTGTCTGTCGCATTTTCATTAAAGTGCATCATACTAACTAAAACATTCGTAAAACCGATTTGCTAAACCGATTTGCTAAACCGATCGATTAACACGCTCGATTGACTTTATTGACTTTATTGTTTTTATTGATAATCATTCAATCTGTTAGATCGTTTTGCTTTTTTTTTCTTTCCTTTTGTATTTCTACTAGATACTTAATAGCTACTTTCACCTATGTGAACAAAATCATTGATATTTGGCAAGAAAGAAAAAAGGCAAAATACTATTATAGTGGTGTAGGAAGGAATCGGGCTCGAACCGTTTAAGAATTTTTCCAGTTATTTATATGCAAGTAGAGATATATAGAAATCTATGAAACTAACACATAAGTACTTATTCGTCTTATCAATTTGTCATTCAACTCGATCGCATTCAACTTTGAATGAATCATTTAATAGGACAAAACAAATAGATCAAGAAACGATCGAGAAAAGTTTCATTTGAAGAATGTCACCCTTTATCAGATATACAAAACAGGGTGTATCCGGTCTCTCATCCGCTACATGTCAAAATAAGTCTCTTTCATAATCAGAAGAGAACAAAAAATGTTAGTCTTTGTTCGTCGACTTATTTTGACAAATAAAATCACCCCAAACTCAATCGAACCAACTTTCCATCTGTCCAGGTACACCATGTATGTTTACAGAGACAAACTTTTTTCCTATTTATGTATAATTGCGTCAAGGTTTGTAATCATATCGTCGTTATTATAATTACGATTAAATACTTTTCGTATACCAATCGTGTCAGGCATGCCATTATACGTTACAATGCATGTCACAATTTTAATCGCGATTCTAATCACGATCATATTTGTCAAATAAACAAATCTTATAATTGATCATCGGACCGAATAACAACCATTGTCCAAGCTGATTCATTTCTCGTGATTTAAGACCTTGGAAACGTTGGACGCTAGAAGACGTTGGAAAAATGAACAAGAAGAAAATCAATTAACGTTGCGTTCTCTAAATCATAGCTTTGATCATTCTAGTCGGTAAAAATCACATAAAGTATAATAATAATAATAATAATAATAATAATAATAATAATAAAAATACTACTACTAATAATAATACTAATAATAATACTAATAATAATAATAATAATAATATCATATTTTAGGATGATTGTAAAGTATGTAAATCTAGACTGTGTACCAAAGATATTCCAATTTTCGCGATCAACATTCCTAATTGTTAATTATAGTCGTAGAATATGTAAAGAGATAAATCCGTATAAAATTTCATATATGACAACGGACGACGAGAATATTTTGTACATATGTACATAAATAAAACGTACGTTATATATGTATGTATAAGATTATAAGGTAAAATGATGTTAAGTTAAGGAATAGAGAAAAAAAGTATCGCTATATTACTGATCTTTCAGAGTACTGAGATTTATAACAAGAGAATTCTGTCCAAATATCTTGTATACCAAGGAAATAAAATCATAAAGAAAGACAAAAAAAAAAAAAAAGAAAAAACAAATATATCAATTCTATTACATCGATGGTAACCTCGCAGTAATCATAGAGTACTAATATTGTTGATACATCTTTCTGTAAAAAAAGCATGCTTTTTAACGTGAAACTTATTAAAAGGTTTCGAGGGTGATTTGGCAAAAAAGTTAGATATCTTTTGCTCTTTACGCATTTCAGGATTCTCTACTTCTTCCCACTCTACGGTTAATGCATTAGATTCAAGAACCCTTTCCGCTGTAGACCAACTAAAACGTACAATCTGTGGAAAGCCAAATATGGAATCAATATTGGCTAATAACCATTTCTTAGTTACCGGATCATTAGGATATCCACTGCCATATTCACTTTCGTTAGAACCTTCTCGAAATTGCCACGCACGTATTGCATGATCTCTGCAAACTTTGGCACAAATACTTGCCGCACTAACAATTGGATAAATAGAATCTGCTTTTTTTGCAACAACGATATCCAACTCTGGAAATATTTCTTCCAATCGAGATTGATATTTTTCTGGCTTTCCAACTGTATCGACGTATAGTATTTTTACATTTACACCAGCTTTAATAGCCTGCTTGATCAATCCAATTGCTGAATTTATGGAAATCTCGTTTAAAGATACTTTACTACGACGATACATACTGTTGGCAATGACATTAGGAGATATCACGTCCACGGCCCATCCTATTAGATCGCTTGCTTGGCACGTTTTATCAAAAATACAATCTCTCTGATTTTCCGTTAAGCTTTTTGAATCTGCACAACCTAAGTCTACGAGTAATTGCTTCTGGGACAATGGTGCATAAGCTATTCCGTATACCATAGGACCCAATACAGGACCTCTTCCTGCTTCGTCTACGCCCAATTGGCATGGTTCCTCGCGACAAATATTTGGAATCTACAAAATAATACTAAACTATTATTTCGAACCGTTCAAAGTAATTAAGGAAAATGACCTGAAACTCTTGTGCATTAATTATTAGACTTACCTCAGAAAAATAAATGTCATTATTGCTATGATCGATCTTTTCAAAGTAAGACGTTAATTCCGTTCTGCAATTTATTCTTACGTTTGCCTCTGCTTCGCTCGATTTATCCATTTCTTCTTCAGCGTTCTTCTCAGTTTTATTATCGATTTGAAAGCTCATCATATCTTTGATAGTTGATCTAACCTCAAAACAAAATTAAAAGACGTTCGGAGAAACCGCCAAAGTTTTTACAATATATGCAGTGGCGGACCCTAGCGGCGGCCATTCAAGCAATAAGCAATGAAGCATTTGTAGTTTGTACTTTGTAGTCAGTCGGTGCATTGGTCGGTACATTCACGGGTGCATTGCTCGATTGTAAACAATTCTAGTCTATACATTTCGAGTCTTTTCTGTTTTTTCAGGTACGAAAGAAAATGATAAAAAATAAATAAATAAATAATCTATTGGTCAAACTCAACGATAATAATAATAATAATAATAATAATTATTATTATTATTATTATTTGGTTAAGTATCTTAGTTCACTGTTTCCACAGATAAAACGGTTTACTATATAAACTAATATAATTTTTTGATAACACATAATAAAAAATAATAATACAAGAATATAATCATGAGTGACAAAACGTTACTTGATATTGATGACACGATATTGAGAAAAAATTTATTATTATCCGTAAGTAATTTATCATAAGTAAAATATTTGTTTATATTCAATGGTCTTTAGATTAAATGCTGATATGCCAATTTGAATTGTAGGAAAATAAACATGAATCTGAAATAGACGAAATATTAAAACAACAGTTTGAAACTAAACCTAAATCGATTATTATTCATCCTTCGCCTGGTATGTATTTCTTCTACATTAAATCTTCTATAAATGTCATCCGTAAACATATTTACTATCATGTAATGTTGTAGGTGTTTGTATAAAAACAAAAACAAATGCGGGTGAAAAAGTATTTTTAAATGTATGTACAACTAATAAAATACCTCCACCAGAAGACATATCAGAAGAGACCTTAATTTCACTTTTAGATCAAGAAACACCCTTTTATTCTATACCAATGAGCATTGGCCAAGAGAGATTAGAACCTGATAAAGGTAAATACCAATCGTTATATTTTCATTGTTAATGTAATATTATATCTAATGTTATTTCATTATCGTTGAAAAATATTATTTTATAGGTGGTACCTTATGCATGACTCATGATGTTGCAATAAATAAGAATTTTTTTGAAAAATGTCAAACTCAAAATTATTTATGGTTATTTACAATGACCGTTATAATAGAAGGTGTGTCGCATAAATTTGCTAAATCTCTCGATTCCAAAACTTGTATTGTTTTGAAAAATCGAAAAGTGAGTAATATCATTTTGTCCCCCCCCCCCTACTTGGAAGATGGATACACATTTTATTTCATTTTATTTCCAATAGGTCATGGGTACGATTCAACCGCAACGTATTGATGATCGCGAAGCACGTCCACAGTCCACATTAGCACCACAGTCCAAAAAACCATTAATTCAAGAAATATCATCAAATACATTGAATACAGATAAGTCAGTTACTTTGGCCCAATTACAAAATAATTGCCAAAAACCTGAGACTAACAATTATGTAATATTAAAAGAACCTTTGGAAGGAATAGCAAAACGTTTAATTGGTTTATTTCTTATACCTAAAGGAGTAAGATATACATTTCATTCTTCTTCTTCTTCTTCTTCTTCTTCTTTCTTTTTTTAGTTTATTCGTATTTTTTACATTACATTTTTCTTCTTGCTCTCCTAGATATCTACACATGATTTGGATGTACTTGTTGACGTCGATCGCATTATTGTTACAACAACGAGTGGAAACAAATTTGCATATGATATATGTATGCCTTATGCTATTAACTTGAATGAAACGGAAAGCTTCTTTGATCAAGATTTGAGGGTAAGTGAATATATATAAAATAGGTGGTATCATTGAATATTATAATTATATTAACAATTATTTGTTATTTCTTAATGTGATACAGATCTTACGATTAAATATGCCAATCGAAAATATGTAGTAGAAATGGTAAGATAATTAAACATGAGTATAATTTGTTATGCATTCATTCATTTCTATGATCAAATAGATTAATTTGATGACAACACTCGTTGAATGAACTTTTTTCGAAAACTGATTGATTATTGTATATTTATTATATTATATTTGAATTTATCTGTTATCTGTTATTAAGTGATATGTACTTTGTTACATGTTCATTCTCATTGTACAAGTTTAAACTCCACTGTGGGAAAAAGATAAAGACGAAAATAAAGATGTTGTTCATTTCTGACACTGTTCAATCTTTATCCTACTGTGCACCTTAATTACTGAATTTATATATATATATATATATATATATATATATAAACTCTTTTCTCTATAGATTTAACGCTATATTTGATTTGTACAATGAATATTTAATTCATTTATAAAGCTTAAAATTATATGTTATTTACATTGAGTTAATAACTCAAAGAAGTTTAACAAAGTGGTGACTGTAACAATTCCGAGGTGTGAATAATGATGAATTTGTATATGAGATATATTTTTTGCAGATGTTTGATCTCTTACATCTCTGTATAAAATGTTGGCCGTTCGATACCTAGTATAGTGAAAACATTTGGTAAAAGGTATACGGTATTTACGCCTATCATAAAACAAGTTATATATTTATAGACTAGATCGGTGAAAATTTTGCTCTTATTTTCCAAATAATTGTCACTTTTCATCAGCTCCTTAGAATTAACTTTAAGTATGGCACATATTATAGTATAACAGAGAGATTTACAAATAGCTTTAGTTCCAATGACGCTACAGAAACCAAGTATCGTCCTAATAATCATACATCCTAACATACGATAAGATGGCCAAATAATATTATATGGTGGTGGAAGAAGTGGAAGAGAAAGGGCCCCTGTCTTGTAATTTAACCATGCTCCTGCATGAACTCCAGCAGTTACGGAAACAACCATTGTCGTATCGCCGCTGCGAGTACATATTCCATATAATAAATAATAAGAAATTCAACTGTATAATAAACATGTATAATGTCTCTTACCGAGTCGGTGTCCATTTGTCGCTAGATGGATAATAAACCACAGCGGTAATGCTAATTAATATTAAAAGTATCAAAACCCAGGCATTTGTAATAATATAATAATCTAAAGTATCTACTAGAGGTATCAATGGAATCATTAGCACAATAGCTAGTAATAATCCTGCTACAATGTCCAAGACCGTATGCATTCCTAAATAAAGTCGACTCGTGCAAATAAGCGTACACCTAGAATAGAAAAGATGTTGTTGATTAGATGTTGATTATGTATATTATTTGATAAATTATTAAATTGAACATTAAATTGAAAAGATTTACCAAAGGAAAGCTATTGTAAAACCGATATGAAATGAATAGATGTATCTATTCATAGTAAATATTAATACACTAAATGGAATTGAAATTCCAATCATAGCATGAGTCGATGGCATCCCATATTCTTGAGACCATTTACTTTGTAATCTAACGGCTGGCGGGCACGCCGGTCTTGGCCAGCAAATGATGTCTTTCAATGCTTGTCCTAAGATGTAACAAGAGAACTATATTGTTGTTTGTATATGCACATGTACGTATCATAGATAATATTTCTTCTAATAATTGGAAAGTTTTGTTTATTAGTACATTATTGAAATATGTTGAATATATTGTATATTTTATTATATATTATTATCTTACCAATGCTCATAACAATAGCCCAGACTAAGACCACTCTCCGACCAACTGCGCCATCAATATTCCAAAACCAAAAGGGTATAAATGCAGAATAAAATATTTCATCTCCTAATTCTGTACCGAATAAAAATAAATAGTACCAAAAACGATTTTTAACAATAAATGCTGGAGATTGTAATTTCATGAAATAATTATTAGAAGAGCATTCTTCTTTGCTCAATGATTTATTCGTTTTGGTATATCCATTTTGTTCTTTATTATCGGATAACCTATGAACAAAAATGATCATCCACATAAAACAATTCCTTATATTTATATTCATTGAAATTCAATAGATATATTTTCTTACCTAAGATTCTCCGAATGCTTTATTTTATCATTTATTTCTATTCCAAAAAATTCTTGTACATTAGCTACTAGATGAGGAGCCTTTAAGTACTCAATTATTTCAAGCAACCACATTTCGGCAACTTTAATATATGATGTTTAGCGATTAAAGCACATTGTATCGTTTTTCAAAGTCGTCTACAATATCAAAATACTTTTGTTTAATTTTCAATACTCTAATAAGAAGGTTAATAATAATTGTTTACCATTGATCGATTCTTTTTTTATCTATTCTTTTCATTGGGTTGTTATTTACTTAAAAGCAATTTTTAAACAATCGTTTCGTTCGTCAAGACAATCGAATAATGCCAATAATAACGTATAAATAACAATGATTCTACATTAGAAGTAAAAAATCGAGTCGTTAAATTGTTAGTTAATCGAATAAATTATTACTTTTTTTTTTTTTTTGCAAGAAAATTGCACTATTGACGCTTGAGATGAATGTTATAAAGCAACGATCGATATGACATTTGGCTTCTATATCTTCTATATCTATATGTCTTATTTAATAAATGCGAAATTAGTTGTTTGTTTGTTTGTTTTTTTTTTTTTTTTTTAAGAGAACATAACATAACTCGTAAGTACAAACAAAGTACTTACTTACCTGCACGTGCACGTGCACGGTGCATGATGCATGCATGCATGCACGCATGCACGCATCCACTCACTTACATTCTATCATACTAAATGATTCAACGGATTACTATAAACTACCTAATTTTCTATAAGTGCAGAAATACTAATCGTATATTATGAAGTCATATCCCTACTTTATTCTTTTGTTTTTCTTTACTTGAAAAAAAAAAACAAAAAACAAAAAACAAATATATGATATACATATAATTAATTACGCAACTACGTTATCTTCCATAGAATGATTGATTGATTATTTGATATTAAGATACGATAGTTTCTTATTATTATTTATTTATTTATTTGACCTTTAAATAGAGAAACTGTGTCAAAAATAAAAAATGACAATAGTAAGTAATAAGGAAATATTAAATTGCTTTTTATTCTATGTATGTATACATATATAATTTATATTAAAAAATTATAACGCGCGGTAAGAATTTGTACATACATAATATATAGTATGTATGTATGTATAGAGCGAGAAGCAATTTATCTCTCCTATTTTGAAATGTTCTAAAAAGAAAACAAAACCTTGAGAAATATCCTTTTTTTTCATCAAAATCTTCATATACTCGTGGCTGCTGTACGTGCAGCACGTTGTTGTTAATAGGATAGATTACTTCTCGATTTTATACCTACATACGTACGTATATACATACGTTTTTATATTTCTTTTCATTAGAGAGAAATCAGCACATCTCTATTTACAATGAAGAAGTATTGATAAAAATAAATGACAAATATAATTGTATAGCATCGTGTACCCATTACCTCAATAACAATACTACTAACGTATAAAATAACCCGCATAAGGGTTAAAAGTTTCGTTTAAAAGAATGTAAAAAACATTTGTTTATCTATAGACTTAATATATGTAGTTGACAAATAAGGACTTTGAAAAAATTGTCATGTATCACAGAAGGGTTCTGGTTGGTGGTTATCTTTAATTTGATCGATGATCGAGAGAGTCTTTTTTGTTTTTTGTTTTTTTAAGAGTAAAATACTTGTCCTATAATAGCAATATTTCTAACCGCCGATGCTACATCTGTAATATCCGGACTAGGATGTACGTGCAACGAAGACGTACCTACTACAGCTGCGGTAGCGGCAGCGGCAGCAGCAGCAGCAGCATGCGCGTTCATTTTTTGCACGCTGTCAATATAAGTTTTATTCGCTTGAGAACCTAAAGTACTATTAACATTATTTATATGAGATTGCGGCAGTGTTGTTGTTGTTGTTGTTGTTGTTGTTGTTGTTGAAATAATAGGAGCTATAACGGCCGGATTTGTATTTGTATTTGTATTTGTATTGTATTGTATTGTATTTCCTTCAGATTGTTGACCATAATTTAGAGTATTTTGATTAGACGTCATAGTTTGATAATTATTGTACTGGGCCTTACATTTTTTTTCGTGAACGAATAAACTACCGGAATGGCTATAAGCTGTTCCACATATTTTGCAGGCATACGGTTTCTCTCCTGTATGCGTGAATCTATGTTCCTTTAAATATTTTAATCGTCTGAAAGACTTGCCGCAAGTTTTACAATGATAATTAGCTTCGCCGGTATGCGTAGTAATGTGTGCTTTGAGAGTGCAAGATTTAGCAAAAGCAGCGCTACAAAAGTGACAAACGAATGGCCTATCGCCGGTATGCGTTCTCTCGTGATTAATGCAATTTGAATTGGACGTAAATCCTCGTCCGCAATATTTGCAAACATGAGGTTTATATCCAGTATGCGTTCTCATATGAAACATAAGACCAGTATTTTGTCGAAAAGTTTTACTGCAAATATGACACAAAAATCGTTTGAAATTCGAATCTTGTTGCTCTTTCGTACGTTCGTGTATTCGCATATGTCTTTGTAATTTGATTTCTTTTTCAAAACTTTTATTGCATTCCAAGCACGTAAAGTTTTTTTCTTTTTCATTATTTTTTCGATTCCCTTTGCACTTGATTGCGCAACTACATTCCTTACCACAATTTAAACAACAATTTTCTTCTTGTACTTCGTGAGTATTCGTCTGATGTTTCAATAAGGATTTTTTCGTATCGTAGGATTTGCCACAAATTTCACAGGGGAAACCTTTGCCTTCGTTATCCGAATCCAATTCTTCTCTAATCCAACTATTAATTAACTTAATAGCTAACTTGTCGTCCGGCGGTTTTTGAGGTATAGAACAATCTTTATCCTCGTCGTGTCCGTATCTATCTCTATGACTTTTAAGCCTATCTTGACGAACAAATTTCATGTTGCAAACATTACAAACAAATTTTCTTTCCTCGTGTTTTAACAAATGACGCTTAAGAGATGTTTCCTTTCTATAACATTTGATGCAATGCTTGCAACGATAAACTGGTATACCATCGAAAGAATCAGATTTATTATTATCGCTATTAGACTCCGAACTAGACGTATAGAAATATGTTATTTTGTCCTCTGTGTCTGAGACGTGTTTGCTTGTTAATTTTGCAATCCCATCATCGAGACCATTATTATCGTGGCCATCCAATGGCCATCCAACGTCTGCCTTTCGATCATCCAAATGTTCATCTTCTACAGAGCGATTATTCATTTCTAAGGATTGCACGTTGTTCTCCAATTTCCTTCTATCCCTAATTTCCTTCAGTATGGAAAATACTTCCTTGGGATTGACTCTTTTGTGAACATTCAAATGTCGTACCATAGTATCAGTTTTCCTAAAACTTTTATTACATATTTTACACGGTACTAACTTTGATTTATCATTAGATCTGTGAAGTTTACCGTGTTGGAGTAGTTGATCGATTTGAAAGAATTCTTTCTTACACTTTTGGCATTGAAATTTAGCTTCGTTATTATGAGTTGTTAAAATATGCCTCTCTAAGGATTTCTTACTGGAATAACATCTGTTGCATTGAGTACATTTGAGATTTAAATTGGAACGCGTAGCGGAAGAAACTCTAACTACCTTATTACACACATTTTCTACATTTAAAAGCACATCCTTTTCCCCATTGTCATATTTCGTATTTCCATTTTTTTTTATATACTGTCTTTGTCTTTCTCTATGATTTTTCAAATTTTCCATAGAGGTAACTCTTTTAAACATCGTCAATCTTCTCGTACGATATGCTTCTCTTTTAACAACAGGCACCGGATCTGCCACCTCGTCCGTCAATCGTTCTAATTTATTATTATCATCATCATCATCATCATCATCATCATCATTATCTGACAATATTATTTCATTGCTAGTCTTGATATTACCATCATCGGATTCTTTCAAAATTCGGACATTGCTACTTTTGTCGCGACTTTTGTCGCGACTCTTTTCGCTACTCGTTTCGCTACTTTTTTCATCTGGAAGAGAAGCAACACCTTGGTGGTAGCGTATAAAAGAATAATTATTCTCTTCTTTCGTTACAAGTGAAAAGTGTTCTTCTGTTTGACAATATTGATCCTACAAATAATAATAACAACGAAGGATTGATTTTCATTTGAAATTATCAAATCAAATCAAATATACTTGTGTACTTTTACGTACTTTTAAAGTGTCAGCTTTCTTTATCGCTTTGCCATATAATTGTCTCAACTTGACATCCGCTCGTTGACATTGTTCTCTGAGTTGGTGAGCTGCATTGACTTTGACAATGCATTTTATACAAATATGCTTGGGTAATCCGTCGTCCTCGGCAACCTAAACAAATCTTAAAGGTCTTTACATTCTATAGGTCAAGTAGTAGATAAGAAATATTCAATAGGACTGACCTCGATACCTCCGCATAGCCATAACTTTTGGGACAAATCGTGAACGCTTTTATCTTTCGTAGAATTTTCCTCGATGGAAAAGATTGGTTGATTGTCGTTGCTCGACGATAGACAAACACGGCATAAATAATAATTATCTTGGTTTGTCATTATTTTCTATCGTACTTCTTAGCCGGCTGTGTTTACGCCTTGGCCCTATTTGAAATGTTCCTTTATGGAAAATCCTTCGCGGTACGAATTTTCACGAAAAAGGCACAATTTCACGTGACGTCATCATCGAACGTCTATCGAACGTCTATCGAACGTCTATCGAACGTCTATCGAACGTCTATCGAACGCTTATCGAACGCCTATCGAACGTATATCGAGTGAATATCGAATAGATACAGGCCGCGTGTGCACTAATTTCCCTCTTTCTTTGTTTTTTTTTGTTTTCTTTATTGACGATAGCTTAGGATCAAAACAAAAGCCTACTATAATTTTCATTTAGAAAATAATTCACCAATTATAAAGACGAGGAGCATAATAAATAGATTTAAAAAAATCTCGAAATCATCGAAATTTCTATGACGAATTGTAAACGAAGCATAATAGAATGTGCTCCTAGTCCAATCGGAGTTGAAGCCATATTTGTTAGATTGTTAAGCACTTTGCTGAGCATATACTAATTGCTGCTCGTTATAAAAGCAAAGTATAGAATACATTGAAAATTATGAATGGTAATTGTATGTAAGATACAAAATGGAGATTTCTTGAAATCGCTTTGGTCGTTCGATGCTGTGTCTCGTTCGAGCAAGTGCGCATGCTCCCACCAACAACTCAAGAGTTGTTCTTAGTGGAAAGAGGAAAGAGACGTGTCGGTTAAGTTGGGCGCCAGAGCTCCGCGTGGTCGCTTACTTGTCACTTCGTTATTTTAGAGGAAGGATCTACGATCTAAGGATAGAAAGGACAATGGCACTGTTTCGTTTTAGTTCCAAGCGATGTCTTGAATTACAGGTAAGTCAAGAATTCTTATCTCTCTTTATTTTTTCTTAAGTTCATTGCTAAAGGGGTAGGAGTACAATTAGGGTGATTTAAAAGATTGGATTGATAGCGTTCCAAAACGGCGGCACGTTATCAGCATTTCGGTGCGAAATTCGAACGATCCGTGAAAGGAGAATCCCCTCCATCGAGGGGGGGAATTGGGATTGACGGCCCCGTTATTTCCTTACCTCTTGCCTGCCTGCCTTTCCTTCCTTCCTTCTTTCTTTCACGAAAGCAACTTTTTCCTTCTCCGAATAAATTTGCTTATTTATTCTCCAGGAAAAGAGGGCGTCAGCAGGGCTTTATCGACCGACATTATTTGCCATTATTTGCCATTATTTGCCATTATTTGCCATTATTTGCCATTATTCGCCATTATTCGCCATTACTTGCAATTAGTGGGCATTACGATAGTTTTCTCCAATTCCAAAAGACATTTGCGGGAGAAGAAAAATGATAGGACATTTTTCAAAGAGGGTGCCCCGTTATTACTACTAACAACGGATGCGCTAGATTCGCTAGAGTGTCAACACATTTTTTCTTGACATTTTGATTATATTTATTATTATGCAGATAATACGTTTAGCTTACCGACTAGGAACATGCTTTCTAGTTCGATGTCGTCTTCAGTTATGTAATAAGTCTCTTCTTGACAATATCTATTTTTCAAAGGTTCATTTTGCATTTTAACCAACAGATATTGAAGATACATATGCAACGAAAGATAATTCTTATTATGAATTTGTTGTTCTTAGCCTTCGCGCCAAATTGTATAAGCAACGAACTAACATTCGAACCTATTGTATAATTACCGCTAAGAATAATGGAAAATTTCAAGCGTATTATCTAATCGATCAAAGTTTTTGTCAGCTCTTTTATACGTAGAAAGTACAAAGTAGTAGAAGAATGTGAAACGTAACGACTTGTTAATTTGTCGAAAAATACAAGGCGGTAGCAGCATATATTCGAAAGTTTAGGAGAAAGTCGAAGAAGGCGATCGGGGACTGGTTTTCTTCTTTGAATCTCCATTGGTTGTGTTTATTAATGATTCTTCTTATCTATCTTATGGATGAAATTTATTGCACGCGAGTAATTGGAGTAGAACACAGGTGTTCATTGAAGAAAATAAGAGAGTAGGATAAAATGGATATGATAAAATGGCGGTGTCGGTTTGGCAAAAGGTTTGGTAGCTAAGTTTAGCGAAATTTCGAGGTCAAAAATCTAACCCATTCTCTTGATCTACATTGATCGTGACCTATGTCTAAAAATCTTTCGTGGCTGGCACCTGTCTGTTGAGCGTGCCTCCTTCATTAACGAGACAAAAATGATCGTTTTATGGATAGAACAAAACAGTCCTTTCTCTCCTCCTTTCATTTGACATTTGGCAAGACCTTTTTCGCTTATTTATTTTTTCCTCATTATAAATGTCTCATCTGTTACTTAACAAATCTGTTACTTTACAAACAGGCATATGGTATCTGAATCGCGTAACCAATTATTTCAGGGTTGCGCCTCTTCATTTTATACTCGAGACCACCGTACTCTTTATTTTTAGCCGCCCCTCCTAAGTAGTTTTATTATAAGTATATGAACCTTGTTTTATCTTGTTTACCTAACAATCATTATTATTCCTTGTATACCTATATGTAGCAGATATTTAACGTTTAATAACTCTGTTCATAACACATTGATACGTGCGAGGTATAATAAAGAGCTCTCGAGACCGAACCGTTCGTTAATAGGTACCTTCTAGGTATTCGTTTTAACGCCGTTCGGCGATTACATGACGCGAAATCAATTAGATAATTGCGATTCGCGGGTGTGCGCCAACTGGCAATGCCCTTCAGAAGCCGCTCTTTATTACGTAATATGCGATACCAAGTGTTATCAATCGCGCGCGTCGAGTACTTTATCTTACTAATAATTAATCAAACACGCACGCACGCACGCACGCACGCACGCACGCACGCCGAATAAATGTACAATTGATCGTACATGGCGTCGACGCGTGATAATCTGATTAAAAGTGTGGTGTCCATACGTGATCGTTCAGACTAGATTTTTCATTCAAACATATTAGAAGAGAAAATATCGAAAATACTTTACATTTCTTTGTCTACATATGTGTGTCTTCTATTTATAAATAATATTTCATTCGATTGGTAACGTATTTTTAGATGACCTGAAAAGTAAGTGCCGGTGAAAGTAAGTAGTCTATACTGTAAGTAAGAACGGACAATCTTCGATTAGTTCGGATTAGGAAATACCTTTACACACACAGGCAACAAATGAAAGCTCGTCAAATTTGTGACGTTCATCGTAATCGAGATGAAAAGCGGAAAATGTAAATCGACGAGCAAATAAATTCAACAGTATTATCGCGCCGAGTGTTGTTGATAAGTTCTTGCCTTCTGTCGCACCTGCCAAAGCGATAATTGTAATTAATCGTGACACCCATGATGGGTATTTTATTACAAACAATGGATAGATTATTTTACAAACAGTTAATGTTTGCCTATTGTTGAAAATGAGACAGTCTTTTGTTACGATACACGTTTATGTAAATAGGTACGCTAATTGTAAATAGGTATATGATATTCATTTATTTGTACGCTGCTTAATGCTCGCTATTACGCGTACAATATTATATAATATAATAAATTCAAGCCATTTTATCTTTAGGTCGGTACTGGCCAAGTTCCAAACTCATACTTTTTCTAAATATAATGTTGTAAATTTCATCGATGCTTGTCCAAAATCATATATACATATATACACATATATAATTGGTTGGTAACTCATTATATTTGGTGCTTGGAAAAACTTGGATAAATTGCAGATTTTACAAAGCGCGCACACACACACACACACACACACACACAAATTATAGATCGTCTTATGTAATAAATAATAGTTCGTTGATAAAAGCGTAGCGTGAAACGAAGAGAGTGATCTTTGAACTGAAAATTTCAAGATGTAGAGTATTCAAAGGTATACATTAGTTGATACGATATTTATTTGAATGACCGAGTTCATTTTTTGAAGCTTCCTTCAAGCTCCCCCTTATTATCCTCTATTTATGTTAGGAAAATTCATTGTCGAGATATTCATTTAATAGTCGATATAATATATTTATATTGGTTTTACTGAAAAGCATCATTTTCATTATGGCAACGAAACGAGGAGCGTCAACGTCACTCGAGAATCACGCGAGTGAGTAAAGATAGAACCAATAGTATTACTCGATGGCAAGCGACGATACTTTTTTCAACGATCATCAACGATCGCCGCCGGTGTTACTACCACGAGGCAATGCATGATAATGACCTTTAATGCGAGACCTCGTGACCTCAAGGCGAGTCTTCATTTTATCATATACCAAACGATCCGATTTATCGGATGTATATATTAGCACGTCCTATGCACATCACAAAATGACACATTTCCTTTATGGATGCCCCAAATTGTGAAGAATAATGCTTCATTATTTAATATCATTGAGAAAAGGTAAAAAAAAGAGGAAAACGATTGTAGTAGATCGTTCGCGTTAATCTTTTATGTCAGTAGAAATAATTTTCGCATTACGAAATCCTGACGTAGTTGAATCTTACGGAAGTTGAATCGTAAGGATCATTAACTTTCAACGTATGACACACATTAACGATTTGTGTGTGTGTGTGTGTGTAGATGTCCCCTCTTACGTAATTCCGATATGTCGTAGGAAAAGTTCGACATTAATGATATTTCAGCAATTTTGATTGCCTCTTTCTCGCATCTATTTGCTATTTACTACACATTGCTTTTTTTTTTTTTACATGTCCTTTTATCTCGTCTGATTTCAGAAATTGACCACCAGCACCGTTACGAATTCTGTGGCCGTTCGATCGCTATCCGATGCTTCGACCGATCTGAAAAAAGTCTTGACGGAGAAAATACCTAAGGAGCAAGAACGCGTAAAGGCCTTTCGCAAGAACCATGGCTCTACCAAAGTTGGAGAAGTCACCGTCGATATGGTATGAAGATTAATTATAAAACCTAAATAGAGGGTAATTTAATAGAACATATTAATGATTTTTGTAGATGTACGGTGGCATGCGTGGTATTAAAGGATTAGTTTGGGAACCATCAGTACTCGATCCCGAAGAAGGTATCAGATTTCGTGGCAAATCCATTCCTGAATGTCAGAAGCTTCTTCCGAAAGCTTCCGGAGGGGCGGAACCTCTACCGGAAGGTCTTTTTTGGCTACTGATAACTGGAGATGTTCCAACGGACGCGCAAGTCAAAGCGATCTCGCAGGAGTGGGCCGCGCGAAGTGCCCTGCCGAAGCACGTGGTTACGGCCTTGAACGGTTTTCCTAAGAGCTTGCATCCTATGACCCAGTTTTCGGCAGCTATCACCATCTTGAATAGCGAGAGCGAATTCGTTAAAGCGTACAACAAGGGCGTACATAAAAGCAAATATTGGGAAACCATCTACGAGGATTCGATGAATCTAATAGCCAAATTGCCCGTCGTTGCCGCCACGATCTATCGAAATATTTACAAAGATGGCAAGGGTTTGGGCTCTGTTGATTCGGGCAAAGATTGGTCCTGGAATTTCGCCAACATGCTTGGCTACGACAATTCTCAGTTTATAGAACTCATGAGGCTTTATCTAACCATTCATTCCGATCACGAGGGTGGCAACGTTTCGGCCCATACCACTCATTTGGTAGGCTCAGCATTGTCCGATCCTTATCTATCCTTTGCCGCGGGAATGAATGGTTTGGCCGGACCGCTTCACGGTTTGGCAAATCAAGAGGTCTTGGTATGGTTGGAAAAATTACGTTCCCAAGTAGGAGACAATCCGAGCGACGAAAAGCTCAAGGATTTCATTTGGAATACTCTAAAAAGTGGCCAAGTGGTACCTGGTTATGGTCACGCTGTCCTCAGAAAAACCGATCCAAGGTATACTTGCCAAAGGGAATTTGCTCTAAAACACTTGCCCGACGATGCTCTCTTTAAGGTAATTTACATAAATATATTTTATTCCAACTAATAGATCGATAATCCTACGGTGTCCTACTATATATACTCTACTCTAATGCTATTTCTTTTCCTCCAGTTGGTCGCGCAAGTCTATAAAGTTGTACCTCCTATTCTCTTGGAAACCGGAAAAGTGAAGAACCCATGGCCGAATGTAGACGCTCATTCGGGAGTCTTATTGCAATACTATGGTATGAAGGAAATGAACTATTACACCGTTCTATTCGGAGTATCACGCGCCCTAGGTGTACTTGCATCCTTGGTTTGGGATCGTGCTCTTGGATTGCCCATAGAAAGGCCCAAATCTTTAAGTACCGATCTACTAATGAAGGCCGTTAAAGCATAAAATGGAGATCAATGTTTGCGCGCAACGTTTCAGTATCATTAAAACCACCAAATCATATTTGCGCCGACTGCAAACAATCGTTGTCGGCATTTACGATTCATATCGGCGAGTACAAGAGACAATAAGCTCTACGTTGAGCTCATTATCAATGTAAATTTTACTTCGGTAAGACCTTCGAGGAAGGAGAATCGTCTTGCGTTATTTTCCAATACTCGCGTCTTAAAAGAAAACGTAGTTTCATTGGAATGTAACATCACACAACTGCCAAATATTACAGAAAAATATTCGAGATAGCAGTCTTGAGAGAAAAAGAAAGAGAAAGAGAGAGAGAGAGAGCGAGCGAGAGCGAGAGCGAGAGCGAGAGAGTAAATAATGTATTCGTGTAAACACAATTGCAAAAACTTGATTTATTATTTGCGCGATCAAATAAGGAATAAAAGGCGATAAAGCAATATCAAAGGATCATCCCCTAATGTTAAAAACAGTTGATAATTAGATTACAACATGGTAGTGTATACCACTTAAAAAACATCATTTTTATCTACCGATTATTTAATTAACACTGCCCACAATTCTGCGCGATTTAATTTTTTTCAATTGCCCCCCCCCCCTTAATTGGTAGCAAAATAGTTTCATTGACTCCTCCTTTCAATGAAAATAAATAAATAAAAAAATATTGTAGGTACGTTAGTTAGCGCCAATGGCAAATGCGTGTATATGCACGGTGCTACACGTGTCGCTACACATGTCGTTACAATATCCAAACTATTAGATCATATTAGATGACTCACTCAGGAAGTTCACGTCACTATGTCGCGATTCCTCCCCTCACCTAATTAAATATACATCCGTAACAGGAAACACTTACAAGGCTAACTAAATACTTAATTAAATACCGTTCAAAGTGCTTTCTATAGCACTGGTTGTTGGTTTTAGATTTTCTCGAATATATTAATAAAATAATTCGGTCTTATACCGAATCAATAAGAAACATGCGTAAATTAAGAAGGATGACCAGTGGTAGATCCACTGTTATATGAGAATGTATGAGTGTGTGCGATTCTTTATTTATAATAAACATGAAAATAAATAGATATTTAAAAATAATATAAGACACGCGCAATCATTTCTTAATACCTTATTTGAAAAATGTACGAGGAGGAGGGCTCGTGCGCATGTACTTTTACTTTACCAATATTATATATGATGGATGAAAATCTTTCGGGTAAATCCCACCGCGTCTCTTTATATTTTCCTTTAAAATACATTTTATTCGCTATTTACTATTTATATTAACATCACTGTGTAGAACGTGACAATGTAAGAGAATGAATTATCCATTTAAACCTTCCTTATTACCTCTAATTAATGTACTTTAATATAATTTTAAATCACACGTATTTTTTTTTTCTTTTTTTTTTTTTTTTTTTTACCATACAGGTTGTCGATTTTTATGTTCAATATTTTTCACAGAAGCAGTATTGTCCAAATAAAAATAGATTATTACTACTCGAGAATTTAAAAACAAAAAGATAGACGTAATTTTAAACAAATCGTAGGATCCTTCCTATTTTGTAGAATATTTTGTAGAATATTTTGTAGAATATTTTGCAAATTTATCTCCAATTAATTCGAGTAAGAGAACATAATGAAAAGATCAGCGACAAAAAAGTTCAACTCGTCGTTATATAACTTTTAAGCACGCTTCCATTAATTCCATTATTGAAACATTCCACAATATTCCGATTTGAGAAAAAATTACGTGTGTGTTTATACATATATATATATATATATTGTATAACTGCAATAGTTATACATATACGCGATGGTTTGTATTTTTAAAAGTCATTTCTCAATATGAGAAAATTAACGTTTCGTTATTTTATATGTAAGAATCTCACTATTTACTTTAGACGGCATTTATATCTTATACAATGAAAAATTTAATCAACGCTCGACATAATTACATACTCAATATTGTTAACATTTCAACTGAATATTGTTTAAGTGAAATATTCCTTCTTGCTGCATGCAATGTATTATGAGACAGCTATTGCGGTTAAACATTAAACCAATATATTTGAAACTAATTAATAAATAAAATGTTTCTTTTCGTTATAACTACACAAAAATGAATTGGTATTGTTGCACAAGGTGTATTCATTTAATGAAGATTATTCGTAAAACAAAAGTAAACTTGAATCTTTCCAGCAAACAACAACTCCTCGTCTCGACATTGAATCGATGTATCACAAAACAGTTCGCATTCTATTTGCTAATGCTCGTTTATCTCTTGGATATCCTCGTAATGAAGTCTTACAGATGTTTATACGATTAAACGGCCGCTAAGGAATCTTATTAAATTCTCGTACGTAAATGTTAAAAATATTCTATAGATTGGAACTATATCTGCTGACCTTACTTTTGTCGTTTCTTTTTATCTTCCTTTTTTTTTTTCTTCTTCTTTTTTACAGTCGCTTATTGTTAATAAAGTGTATAAAAACTATATACAGAGATGTATCTTTTACTTTTGCATAAGAAGCCAAACGACGTATTCTTTTGGTACGTAAACAAGTACTTTTTACGGCTTCGGCGTTAATTATAAGCACAAGTGAACGGGTACGACTATTTTCAAGAATTCATTTCAATTGCGCTTCTTTGTTTTTTTTTTTTGTTTTTTTTTTTTTTTATACATGCAAAAATGAGATGACATATGAAACATGTGCGCGAACGAGAAATAAAACTTGGCAGTTATCACTGTTGAAAATGCATATTACTTAAAGGTAAAAACAACGCGTATTTAACATATTCTATTAGAAATAATCAAACTATAATGTAACTTTATATAATACAGAGAAATATTATTTTCTATGTGATGTATGACAACAATCTTTTAGCCTTACTCTTCTTCTTTAACTTGGACTTTAATGCTTATTGTTAATTCATCGTAATATCTTGACAATTATTTCGCGCGTGTATTATTACTTTATGAAAAATGAAAATAAATTTCTTGCCCGTCCACTCTCAAAAATACATTAAACATTTACTATAGTAATTGTCTCCGTATATGCAGTTATACTTTGATCGTCGTACTACAAAGAGTAACGTAAATATCTTTAAACGTGAAAGAATTATTTTTCCATTATGTACGACCATCAAAGTAGCAATCGTGCTAACTCGCGCTAATCACATATTATACAGTTTTATTATTTTCTTGAACTTATGACAAACTCTCATAACTCATACGTCATGTCTTCTTAAGACGTCCGACGATCCATTCCAATCCTTGGTAGAGTCTACGATATCAGTGTATTATACTCATTATTAGATGAACGATATATAATACGTTATACGTTATACGTTATACGTTATATAATGCAAGCTACACAATTTGAAGGAAAAAAAAAAAAACAATTATTTACCCTTCTCCCGTGAGAGCGCAACAGCTTTGTATGTGCCATTGGTGTTTCTTGATGGACGTTAAATCTAGTTGTCTGGAAATTTCAGCAGCTGTCATGCTACCCTTCAAATCCTGTTTATTAGCATAAACTAAAACATTAGCTTTGCTAAGTTCCTCGTGATTTAACATAGAATATAATTCTTCTCTTATTACACCGAGTCTTTCTCTATCAGTGCTATCTATAACCATTATTATAAATTCTGTATTTGTGTAATAAGTGGACCAAGCTGCCCTTAAGCTCTGCTGTCCTCCTAGATCCCACATTATAAAATGAATATTCTTCCATACTACTTCTTCAACGTTTGAGCCAATAGTAGGTGATGTATGAACAACTTCGTTCATCAGAAATTGATACAATATGGTTGTTTTACCAGCATTGTCCAATCCAACCATAACTATTTTATGCTCTGAAAAACGATTTATTTTATATATATATAGAGAGAGAGAGAGATAGAGAGAGAGAGAGAGAGAGAAATACACGTGCAATGTATAAATATGTCAAATAAATTCCTTACTCTTTGCTATGATAAATAATACAAATTTACAAACAAGAACATAAGGTAATCACATCTAATCACGAATTTATTATATTTATACATTTTTTTCTATCCATTCAAATGTATCAACGGTAATATTTGATTATTGAAAGGATTGTGTTTACCTTCATTACCAAAAAGACTCCACAACTTGGCGAATAGTAATCCCATATTGATCACAGTTTCGAAATAATTCGAAAAACACCGCGCACGTTTACTTTTTTTCTCTCTTTCTCTCGCTCTTTCGCTCTCTCGCTCTCTCGCTCTCTCGCTCTTTGTCACTCTTCCTCTATCGTATTATAATACAGCCTTGATTAAGATAAAGAGAATGTATGTATTTGGATTTAGAAATAGGGCATCCATCTCATTGTTACAGGGTTATGTCCAGCTTTTCATCACTGCACTTAGTTTTATTTTCACGACGTTTCGTCGCCTCATGTCAACGAACAGCGTAGCACATAAACAAGAAAGGCACAATAATTTGCAATTGTTGCCAGTACAATAAGATCAATTGTTAAACAAAGTTATTGTAAATGAGCATTCCCTAATCTAATCAAGACGATCGCGACATGTTGCATATGCGATTAAAATGCTCCTATGTAGTGATTGGTGGAATTGTAGTTTGCGACTATGACGTCAGCAACATATTACTATGCACTGATTGGAGAAAAACCAATTGTAAGGTTGAGCGCGCGTTAAATCAAATATTTCGATTATTTTACTATTAACTTCTACTATTGTAGAAGTTAATAGTAAAAGTTTTCAGTTTGCCAGTAACAATAATTTTATTGTTTTACTGTCATGTAAATAAAAACCTCGCGTAATTGTCTATTTAAGATTATCTTATTAGTTCTTCGTATATAATAAAAATATTCATATATAATATATACATATTAAAGAAGTTTTGTTCAAGGTACGTATTATATAACTTCTTTCGCAATATACCTCTGTAACGTACGAATGTAAATGTTTAGTATCAATGGGCGCATTCATATTTGCAAATAAAAAATATCGTGAGAAGCATTTAAAATGTATGTGTGCTTAATCAGCAAAAATAATAGCTCAATATAATAGCTATTCCATAGATGAACGAACGGATTCACTTGAATTTTGGTATTTTACATTTACATATACATAAGTATAGAAATAAATAATCTAATGAATTGACTTTATATTTGAAAGTAAGAAGGAAGATGTCATTAAATCGGATAAGCTGACGATATCCGTTATGATATATGCGAGAAAAAATGTTAAAAGTATGCTTGCATAATACATATATATATATATATATATATATTGTGAAATTCGACGTAATGTAGTAGTAGTGGAAATGAGGAAACATAAGAAGAGGCTACGATTGGCCTGTTGCGATTGGTGCGTTCATGTCTGCTGATGACTCTGTGTTTTTCGTTGGACATTCGTCGGACATAAGTGTGTATGGCCACTTGTTGTGTTAATTTTCTTATTTAAGTTATTATTCTCAGAATATTGAAGTTAATAAATCTCTTGGGAAAAATGTCGCAACCGTAAGTAATAAGTATTTTAAATACATATAGATTATATTACTACATATTATAAATTCATTAGATTCTTCTACATCTTTTCAATTAATTGACTACTCCACTAATAAAGTACATTTAAATGAAAATCTATTATATATATATTTATATTGTGCTTTTCATTTCAGCACTGCAGATATCGCATTAATTGGCTTAGCCGTTATGGGTCAAAATCTTATTTTGAATATGAATGATCATGACTTTGTCGTTTGCGCGTACAATCGTACCACGGAAAAAGTACAAGATTTCCTTGAAAATGAAGCTAAAAACACAAATGTCATTGGTGCATTTAGTTTGAAAGAAATGATTTTAAATCTTAAGACTCCAAGGAAAGTAATGTTATTAGTTAAGGGTAAGGATAATATCAAAAATGTAGTATATGGTACCATTGAAGAAAAAATCAATTGAATGAAATGTTTCTTGCACATGGTTCTTGCACATGGTTCTTGCACATGGTATTTTGCAGCTGGTTCAGCCGTAGATGCATTTATCGATCAACTCGTGCCTTTATTAGCACCAGGAGATATTATTATCGATGGTGGTAATTCCGAATATCAAGATACCGAGAGAAGAACGAAAGATTTAGAAAAAAAAGGAATACTTTTTGTTGGAAGCGGTGTAAGCGGAGGAGAAGATGGAGCACGATATGGACCATCCTTAATGCCTGGGGGTAATTCTAAGGCTTGGCCACATATTAAGCAAATCTTCCAAGTAATCATTCCATTTGTGACTACTACCTAATGAATGTCTGTCTCGTAATTCTCTGATGAAAAATTGTCAAATAAATTGATTGTGCTGCTTGTTGTGTATTGTGTTCTAGTCAATATGCGCCAAAGCCGATGGGGAACCTTGTTGCGATTGGGTAGGAGAAAATGGTGCAGGACATTTTGTAAAAATGGTACACAATGGTATAGAATATGGTGACATGCAACTTATTTCCGAAGCGTATCATATTATGAGAAATGGTTTACAATTGAATCCAGAAGAAATGAGCAAAGTTTTTGACGAATGGAATAAGGGAGAACTGGACTCGTTTCTTATTGAAATTACTAGAGATATTCTTAAATACAAGGATAAAAAGGGCTACTTGTTAGAACGTATTAGAGATGCAGCAGGACAGAAAGGAACCGGCAAGTGGACTGCTATAGCTGCGTTAGAATATGGAATTCCGGTTACATTAATCGGAGAATCAGTTTTTGCAAGATGTCTTTCTTCTCTAAAGGATGAAAGATTAGAAGCTAGTAAAGTGTTGGATGGACCCCCCGATACTTTGTACCAAGGTGATAAAAAGCAGTTCCTAGAACATTTGCGTAAAGCTTTATATGCATCCAAAATAATATCTTACGCGCAAGGTTTCATGTTATTAAGAGAAGCTGCCAAAGTTCACAATTGGAATTTAAATTATGGCGGTATAGCGCTCATGTGGAGAGGTGGATGTATTATAAGAAGGTAAAATATATACACATACATATTAAATGTGTTGTGTGCCACATTGAAATAATCATAATATATAGGTAATAGTATAAATATTTGTTACAGTGCATTTTTGAAAAACATTAAGTTAGCTTTTGATAAAAATCCAAAACTTCATAATTTACTGTTGGACGACTTTTTTGCCAAAGCTATGAAAGAATGTCAAAATAGCATTAGAGTTGTCGTTTCTAATGCCGTGGCTCTTGGTATACCGACTCCTGCATTATCAACCGCATTGGCATTTTATGATGGCTATAGAACTGCTCAACTGCCCGCAAATTTACTTCAAGCTCAAAGAGATTATTTTGGAGCTCATACATATGAAATGATTGGTCAAGAAGGTCAATTTGTTCACACTAACTGGACGGGTCGCGGAGGAAATGTTTCTGCTTCGACGTACGACGCTTGATATCCCTTATTATTGTTATATTATTGTCTACACAATTTTTTTATAATAATTATAAACTTTATCTTTATCTTTTCTAAATATATATAGTCACATATTGTTCTCCAAATGAATATAATATATATAAAAGAGATATATATATTTATATAAACATATTGCTATTTTTTTATATGTTGGGTTTTATATGTTGGGAGGAATATTATAAAAAATGATGAAATGGCAATTGTTGTGTTATAAATAAACTAAAACTTGTTATTTTCTTACCGTTCGATCAGTCGATTAGAGTATAAATTTGATACTCTAATTTAATTTTGGCGCCAATTTGCTATTACAAAATATATGCGTGCGCGTGCGCGCGCATGCCAATGACAAAAATCTCTTCTTGAGAATGTCTAGTACATTTCATATCCAAGAAATATCACACTATAGAAATGTTTAGTGACACAACATTTACTAATATTAATCGTCATCGTCTTGAAAGATATTTTCTTATTTATCCATGTATATCAAATTGTAAGATTTAAGTTTGTAACATAAGAAATTTCATTATTCCCTGATGGTAGAGATATGAAAAAATATGTAGAAAATTACTAGCCAAAGTTCCCACATATCCCATTTCCGGTCGAAAGAGGACCATTCTGAAGTTACTGAAGAATCGATAATAGGGTCCAGAATGGAAGCCAGTCATAAACAGCTTATTTATCTTCATAATAATTGGCTCTCGCAAACGTTTGCGACGCATAAAACACAATTCTGCGTATTTATGTAAGTATAATTGAAATTGAAATTTGAACATTGTACGGAAAAGCTGGCCACACTGTACTTTTTTTCCCATTACAATCATATGACGTTAAGCTTGTCCTTGTTGTCATTTGCAAGTTAACCTCAATCTTTTTTTTTTCTTCTTCATAATACACATAGCAATTCATATATATTTCCAAAAGTTTGTTGAAAATATATAAGTATTCATTTTTGCCTTACTTTTATATGCGACAATTGTAGATGATCAATGTTGGAAGGATGGTATTGTCGTTCTATCGCAAACAACAATGCAGATGCCGAAGAAGATGACGAAGAAAGTCCAGAGGAAGAAGTACCAAACTACAAGGATCAGTATCGAAATCTTAAGCGAAAATTAAAATTTTTAATTTATGTACGACGAAGGGACGACTGAGCATGCCAAGTACCAAGCTAAGTGAACTTTTTTTAAAGTTATAATATATATATATGTATTTCAGGAAAATGAATGTTTTCAAGAAGCTCTAAGATCGACTCAAAGAAAATTACTCAAAGTAAATAGAGATAAAAGTTTTTTATTAGACAGATTATTGCAATATGAAAAAGTAGATACATCGTTTAGCGAAAGTGACGAAACTGAGTCATCCGACGAAGAGGTTGCCAGGCTCGACACGTCCAAGAGGTATACATATTTATATAATAACTTTTAGCACCCTTTTCAAATCAGCCCTCTATGTATCCATCTTTGTAATAATACATTTTGTCTTGTTTATAGAAAAAAAATGGAAGTCAATGTAGGAAATCACATTTCGCATCATCCGTCTACGGTTACTAAGCCTCTTAATACAAGCAAAAAGAAAAAAGCTCCACCAAAAGTATCTAAAACGAACAATATACCTACAGTACAAGCACCTAATAATATGGTACCTATATCTTTGATGTCGGATGGACATATGACACCCGAAGAAGTAGAAAGGCATTTGGAGTCTCGTCAAACGTTTATAGAACTTGTACCAGAAAAAGCACCGCCTACAGTTCCAACAGAAATGTTCAGCAATGATCCTTCGTTAGATAGGTAACATCAAAACACTGTCCATTTTCATACGATATTTTATTATCATATCGTTGTTTGATTATTTCGTCGCGTCATTTATTGCAGTGAATCCAATGAAATTGGCGAGTTAGAAACGTCTCCCAGTAATATGGGCGAAGATTGTCTCAGCATGGACAACATGATGGCTGAGTGACGTCGCGATTCCGATATAGATTATTAATCGATTATTAATCGAATATTAATCGAATATTAATTGCACATAATTGATTGCATGTTTCGTTTATATCAATATTTTATTCAATTAACTTATCTGTGTAATTGTCGTGTAGCATAATAAAATTTTTTATACATATGAAAGATGTTTAGGAAAAAAAAGTCAATCATAAATCGTTTGGATATCTAGTATGTATACTATTTGAATCGATATTCGATATGATGGTACTACTTTTTAGCCTCGCTCGATACTTTCTATCATCGACTAATAATCGAATAATCATCCATTCATCCATTGTTTTTTATTTTCCTTACTATTAGTTTACAACATATATATATATATATATATATATATATACTTTCTTCTAATTCATGACAATTTTCAAGATATGATGATTACCGTTAATAGTTCAGTAGCAAGTATATTAGAAAGAATCATCTGCAAGATAGAAATAGAAACGATTTCGTCGAATAAAGATATTTCTCGATTGGCAATTAAACGAAAACTTGACGATATTGTAATATCGACTAAACAAAATAAACGTGCAAGGTACGAAACGGATGGTGACGGTGGCGGCGTTGAAGAAATACATTGCCGTATATGTTATGATTCTAGTAGCCAGCAATTGCCCATAGTTTATCCATGCAAATGTAAGGTAAATTTATATAATAAGAGAACATATGTGGTACGTATACGTATATTATATCATATTCATTAATATTTATACAATATGTACAATGTTTTGACCCAATTGTTGTAGTTTGGTAATTAGTATATACACATACATATATCTCAACAATTATAATACATATTGTTGAGCTGCAATTTTAATTCAATATTATATACTTGTATATACATCATTTTTAGGGTACAATGGGTGCTGTTCATGTGAAATGTTTAGAACGTTGGTTAGAGGAAAGCAATCGAAATAATTGCGAATTATGCGGACACGTATTTCAAGTCGAACGCACCCCACGTTACAAAGCTGTTACATCCGTTATTATATGGCTGTTCGTTATTCAACATCAGCGTCAATTATATATGCGCAATTTGAGAACGGATTTGCTTCGCTGTATCATTGTCACCCCAGCAACCATAATATGTTCTTACATTTGCATCATTGGTGCTGATTTTTATGCAGCGAATAATTATAATAATTTTCCTCCAGCACGATGGACCACTTATTCTTTACTAGTAATGATGGCATTACTTATTTTTTCCTATTTCCTCTGGATATACATAGCAGTTGAAAATCATCAAAAAATTTGGTTTTATTGGTGGCAAAAAACAAGCGCTGTCAAAATTACATTGCCCTTGCCAAATAGAACTTTAATAAACTATAAATCTAACATATCGCAAGTTTGATCATTATTCGATGCTTCTTCACAAATGCTTATTTATATATATATATATATATATTTGCATATATATAGGAGAGTGAGGGGAGTTACTATGATGCTCGTCGTTTTATAGAAATCTTTCCACGGCTCAGTTGTGATATGTAAATCCTAACTTTGCTTCCATCCGATATCTTTTTCACCCATATCTAGAAAATGTCATTAATTAAATAATCGACGATCACTTTGTGCTATATAATTTTTAAATGCATCCAAATATAAGATGATCATTTTGAAATATCGTTTATTCTTCTAACAACATTCGCTATTCTTAGTTGGTTATTTGAATAGTATACTTACAGCTTCTGTTCCAATTGCCGATATGTTTGCAGCAAATCTCGTCAAGTCCTGTCCTTCCACGTATACCGGTTGTCCACGATGAAACCTGCATTGTTTGTCATTATTGCATAACTAATTTATATGGAAAAGAAATAAAAGTTTGATCAAATATAAGAGGAAAACTATACGTAAGTAATACCATCGTCTTTCATACAAAAGTTTTCCACCTTCTATCCTTGTTTCCACTAGAGATGTGTCCGTAGATGGCGAAGAAATATGTTGAGATTGTATATTTACTGTATTGTAATGTGGAAGTACTACTATAAACATTTTAACATTTCTATAAGAAATGATTTAAAAAGAAGGCAATACGAATCTATATATATATATATATATATACGAATAATACCTGGTTTTCTTATCGTCGTTAAAATTTTACCCCGACTAATAGCTTTCAAGTCACTTTCTATTTCTTTTTCATCTAATAAGTAATTTAATTGAGCCGGAGGAGGTTTCCTACGTTTCTCGACTTTTTCGGGTACCGGATCGTTTGGTCGCCTACGTAATTTTCTTGTCATCACTGGCTTTACCTACATATATATATATATAGGTAAATGCGTGCGTCGTTCATTAATGTGTCTTACTTCATTATAATATTACCACCATTATTATATATTGATATTTAATTATACCTCCATAGAATCTCCCGTAAGTTCCATCGTATGCCGATCGGATTCAATCATTTTTCTTTTTTCTTCCATATCCGTTAGTAAATTTTCTTTCAAATCTATTTTCTTTTCCTCAAATTCTTTAGCAGCTGCTTTCTTTTCCAGTATGTAATCTCTTTCTACCCATTCCGTTAAATAATCTCGATAAATGATATTGAGACGCAACCTAATAAACAATAAAGTTTTAACAGAACAAAACAATATACAACACATAATGTTAACATGAACAAAATGTCACTAAACCATTAAACCTTTCTTTGTATTGTGCTTCTAAGCGTTTTAGTTTACGATTATATTCTGGGTGGGTACCATCCTTCAGTTGTTGTAACTGCTTCTTTAAATTGGCTAATTTATCTTGATATACCCTAAAATTCAACAAAAATTATCGTTACTCAAAAAATACTTACTTATTTATTTATTTATTTATTTTAAACTCACTGTTCTTTTATCTCTGTATATTCTTCAGATTTTCCCATATCCGTCTCGCTAGCTTCCTCCGTATCTAGGCATTACATATAATTCAATGTATAAACATTAATGCATATATGCATATACAATATGTACATCAGCGAATACTTGTACTGTACCTTCATCGCTATCGTCTTGCTCTTCCGCATCTCGATCTTCCTCGACATATTCTTCATTATCCTCGTCGATGTCGTAATCTTCTTGAGCATACATTGTTGAAAACGGTGAGTTTTGATATGACATTGTTCTTTTTATTCAAAATGAATCTTTACATTTTCGGACTTGCAAATGTCGTGGTTTTAGGTTAAAATACGAACGATCCAAACGTACCCAAAGCAACACGTATCCTTAAACCTTAAAACATGAAGCGACGAGTCGGCTGACTGTTGCATTTACGACGGAAATATAGAACAAATCAAGTTTTATTCCAGGGTGCGCTGTAGTTGATCGAGATGATCACCAATCATCACACAACATCCTGTCCTAATGGCAGCAATAAGTATTGTTTTTTTTGCATACTTTTTTAGGGGGACACAATATATGTTTTAATTAATTAATTTATTTATTTATACAAATTGCGCGTATAGCGATCGTCGTTCTCCTTAGTATCTAACTCCGTGGTCAAGCACAACACAATAATACGCTGCCGCCATATTGTTTGCATACATACGCGCACATGTACAATTTATACTTTTTTCTTTCTTTCAATAATTAATATAATGTTTAAACACAATAAACATTATTTGTATCATATGTATATGCATACGTTATTTGTATTATTTTTGGTCAAGAATTTATTTCTAATTGTAATGTTGATTAATCGTTGGGCGCGAATTTCAAATTGGACTTTGTCGCAAGCAAGCAAGAAAGCAAGCAAGCAAGAGAAATGACTGAAATAACTTTAATGAGACAAACGCGCGCGTTTTGCTGTTAGATCGCGCTTCGATCACGACCTTGACTTTGCGTGGCTATATTGTCAAATTTAACATAAAGATCTTTGCTAATCTCTCGGCGTAACGTCAGCGGTATCTACATTTATCAAGTGATAGAAATTTTACTGTTTGTTGCTAAGTGTGCTTCACTCCTACGTAAAACAACTTATATAATAGTAAGTACATACGTAAGTATAATTAGATTGACATTGTTAAATCGTTTTATTAAATAATAATAATAGCTTTGTTATTGAAAAAAAGTTTGTTATCATTTAAAAGGGTAGTTACAGATCATCAATCAAGATGCCGAGTAACGTTAAAGAAGGTTTTTCTACGAAAGCTATTCACGCTGGCCAGGATCCAGCACAATGGAATCATTGGTCGTTGGTTCCACCTTTAGTTATGTCTACTACTTTCCAACAGAGTCATCCAGGAGAACATCATGTAAATGATGAAATAAATACATATGTATACTAAGAAGACTGCTATTATCTACGATTGCAAATAATTCATCTTGATCTTGATTTTATTCGAATTTCAATAGGGTTTCGATTATGGTAGAAGTGGTAACCCGACGCGTAACGTATTGGAAACGTGTTTAGCAGCATTGGAAGATGGAAAGCACGGTTTTACTTTTTCATCGGGTTTGGGAGCCATCACAGCTATAACCGGTTTACTCGAAACTGGAGATCACATAGTTTCTGGAGATGATGTCTATGGCGGAACTAATCGTTTTTTTCAAAAGTGCTTAGTTAAACAAGGTATTAATGTATCTTTTGTGGACCTGACAGATACCAAAAACCTCTTGGCTGCTATACAACCAAACACCAAGGCTAGTATAATATAATAATATATGCTTTCAAAGTTTTCGAAAGTTTACTTAATCCGAACATTATATTCCAGATGGTTTGGTTGGAAACACCTACGAATCCTCTATTAAGATTAGCAGATATCGAAGAAATTGCCAAAGTTTTAAAATCCAAACATTCAGATATCATTCTTATCGTCGATAATACATTTCTCACGTGCTATTATCAGGTGAACAACGACAGATTAACATTATTTCCAACGGCAGATATAATAAAACATCTATCCTTATATATCCATATATTATATATTTATCCTTTAGAAACCATTAGAACTCGGAGCAGATTTTGTAGTATATTCCCTAACTAAATATATGAATGGACATTCGGATATTATTATGGGTGCAGCGATTACAAGTAGAGATGATTTAGCGGAGAGACTTCGTTTTCTACAAAATGGTAAGAGCGAAGCACAATCATGCGAAATCCATGCAATCCATAATTAACAATTATGGTTTATATTACAGCAATGGGTGTAGTTCCATCGCCTTACGATTGTGCTATGGTTAATCGTAGTTTAAAAACATTAGAACTTAGAATGCAACAGCATATGAAAAATGGATTAGCTGTTGCCAAATTTTTGGAAAAACATCCTCAAGTGGACAAAGTTATTCATCCTTGTACGTATGTTCACTCTTTGTTTTAATAATAAATCTTCAAATAAATAATACATTTGATATTTTTAGATTTACCATCTCATCCGCAGCATCAACTTGCTTTAAAACAATCGACTGGTCACAGTGGCATCGTTTCCTTCTATATTAAAGGAAGTGCTCAAAAGTTTTTGAAAAGTCTTCGTTTATTTGCTTTAGCAGAATCACTTGGTGGTTACGAATCTTTGGCGGAATTGCCGTAAGTGCTGCTGCGACAATGCATATTATTTGCATATATATTTGTAACATAATATATGTAATACTAATATATTTTATATATTATATATATATATATGTAGAAGCGTCATGACACACGCTTCTATTCCCGAGGCCACAAGAAATGAATTAGGAATCACGGATCAGTTAGTTCGTTTATCTGTTGGACTTGAAACGGAAAAAGATTTGTTAGCGGATCTTGACCAGGCTTTAAAAGCTTCTCAATGATATCACAAATATATTCTATTTTTTAATATAATATTTTGAAGATGTACACTAACTGTGACACTTTGCCGTCATAAAGAAATGATTTTTTAAAGAAATCTTTGATATAACTACTAAAGTAACGTTCCTATTACTAATCATATGATAAGCATTTATTGGATATTTATATACTGTTGTTAATAGAAATGTCGAAGCAGGAATTTTCATTTATATACCTCCTACGCAAATGTTAATAAACAAATATAAATAAATAATTGTAATATTTCCAGTATAAAGAAAATGCATGTGTCAAAAGTGTGTGTGTTGAAAAGAATTACAAATACTTTATACCTGCCTCCTATATCTTTGATGATATTGTGTAGATAGAAAACTTTATAAGATGATAATAATAGAAAGGAAAAAGACTAAATTTCGTCTTACCTCTTATAGATTTTCGATGCACCAGAAGGAGATTTGTTTTGATTGTTATTATCTGTGATCAAATGTGAGTGATGATTTAAATTAGAAAATAATAATATATGACACGAACAAATGTTATATGATATTAATATTTATATATAAATCTTTATTGATTTGAAAATGTTATTACTGTAAATTAATTTTCGAAGTATGCCGTAATTTAGCAGTTTTAATCCTATCATATTCTTGTGCTTGATTGTATAATAGTACACCAGCTATTACAGCACAAGTTCCAAGGGCCGATAAACCGGTTACTGAATTATTGAATAGTAAAACTGACAGCCAAATTAAAAATGCTCTTTTTGCTGTATTGGCAACGCTGCAAAATACAAAATATAACAATGCATAATAAATAAGGTAGAAAATAAGGCAAAAGATCTTCATTGATATTATTTTGTTGTTGACTTATTAACGTTTGTTCTACTTACCTATGCGTTACAGGGCTGATATAATCCATAAGTACATATGCCGTAATACTTTGAAAATGGAAGAAGACACCATTTAAAAGAAATGCCGCAAATATTTTAAAACTTAGGGAATGCTCGAGAGCTGGCAAATCTACTAATAAAATTGACACTGGTATTTGTACCACGATTGATGCTAAACTCGTATAAAATTGTAATTCTGCTGGCCTAAAATTGCATTGAATATAATAAATGTTGAGGATGCGTGTACAGTGGTCGTTAATAGTTAAGGAACAATTTGGACAGCAAACTTACGTATATTTGAAATTGTCTCCGCTAATCAACATTTTCGAATAAACATTTTGAAGACATTCGGTCATGTTTGTGGCCATAGCGGCGATAAATCCACGTAAATCAAAACTAATTTCATTTACCGAGCACAAAGCTAGACCACCCATTACAGGAATTAAAGATAAATTTACATATAATCCAGTGTGTTCTCCTACATATCATCAAATATTATTTCAATATAGTCGCAATATAATCGCAATATAGTCGCAATATAGTCGCAATATAATCGTAGAATATTGAGAAATATTCTTACCTAATAAATATCTGCTAATAAGGACGGTAAAAAGTGGTGCGCTACTTTTAATAGTTTCAGTAAAGCTTACCGCCACGTAATTGAGCGATACTAATCCTAATACTACAGTTGTAAACCTTGTACATCCAACCAATATCATGTGTTTATAGAAACCTGGCGGTCGCATAAGACGCGAGCTAGCCTTATACATACCGCAGGGAAAATACATTTGTATAAATCCACAAATTGCTGTCATTAACATTTGGCAGGCACCTGAAACAAAGTAATACACATTTCAATATATTTCTTTTCAAAAGCTTTGTAGAGATATATCGTCATACACAAATATACAAATATCTTACCCAAAATAGTTGGGTTGCCTTCCATGTACGATAATATGTATTTGTTTAAAAATAATGTACACCCACTGAAGACATACCATAGCGTTAGGAATAATAACGCCCTTGGATTAAATAATCCACCCTTCGCGTCGTTTGCCAATATAACCACTTCCTCGCGTTTTTTACCATGCTCGATGTATTGTTTCCCGCGACTTTCGTGTACCATTGACAATTCTTCCGCGTCGCGAGGAACACTTTGCGCGTAATTAATACGAACGGAATGATTTTCCATTACACCTTTTTTTACACCAGTTATGACATTATTTTTGAACGAATTTACATTTTCTTCCAATCTCTATCATACAACTGAGAAGGAGAAACATCAGCTCTTATTGGCAATCAGATCGTTTGTCAGTTCGCTGATATTGATGGGGGAGTAGTAGTACGTGCATTTGTTTACGTTCATAGTTAGGTTATGGTACGTTTTTACTTATTACTTACTACGCGACTTTGTTTCTACGTATAACGCGCTCAATAATAACATGTCGCGTGACATTTGACAAGACGCGACACTTAACTATTATTACCACTAACCTTTTAATACCTATTTGTCTCTTCATAATAATTTATCAACTTTGCATCGCAACTTATCAGCGATACTTTCAATAAATATTAAATCGATATTAATTTGTCGTCCGAGCCCGAGCAGCGAGCTAATAAGTGAAAGCTGTAAAGCCTGTAGGGACCAGTAGAAAGTCCCTAGCACCTAGTAGGTAGGACCAACAACTCTAACTCTGCGTCTTTAACGATATCTCGCAAAGATCGATATATTAATGAACTACTTTTGACTATTATTGTTTTTAAGTTTTTATATTTTTCATGATATCACCGATTACCTATTATATATATGTATATATTACAATGTAATAAAACGTGTATAGAACACAATATGTACAACATATAATGTATGTAAGGTGTATAAAAAAAAAGGATTCAGAGTTCTATTTTTTGAGTATCTTTTGGCGTATTTGGCGTACTTGACGTATTTGGTTGATTCGAGAACCTTTGTAAATATTCATCGTGAGCTAATATCGCTACGTTTCTACCAGCTATGGCACTCATTTCCATTGCGCTAGCTACCCATTCGATGGCGTTAACGTGATAAAGGCCGTCATAAAGTTTAAATTTGTCTAAACGTGCTTTCGTAGTATATCGTGGATATGCCTTCCAGGCGACTTCTTTCACTTCTTCTATCTAAAATACGTTCAATAAGTTATTGTTAATTTGTCTATAAGATAATTAATTGCGAGTTGTTAAATTATTGACATTACATTGAGAAAAATGTTGTTTAGAAGAGTTAAGGGCAAGGAGGCGTTACTGAAAATTTTCCATATTTTGGAATTCATTTTAGTTGGACCTTCAACGGTGTCTATTCTCCCAATGGAACGAATATCGATATTATAATTGCAAATTAATATGCAATCTAATTCTTCTTCGAGTCCAAAGTAATTTGGGTTAATATCTCCTTTTATAAAGGTCGCAATAACTGTTTGATATTCATCTAAAAATGTTAAATTGTCGTCGCCAGGGATGCCTTCGAATGTAATATGCGTTTGTTCATGTTTTCTTAACGGAGTCGCGATAATGACTATGTCGTAGTGATTTTTCATAACGTTATCTAAAAGAGAAAGATTTGGTAATTTTGTGCAAATCTTGTATTCTATGCTAATATGTAATATTATGCATACCTTTGTTGGAATAATGTACTTCATAATTAGGAAAGTTATTGATAGTTTCATAATGAATTTTCTTGACGAAAGAAGAAAGCACATTTACGTTAACGTTCCTATATATTAAATGTTCAGGCACCTAAAATAATGGAAAAACAAACATAACATATTAGTAAATAAATGAAAAGCATCTTGTTTGACAATTAGTAATATTGGTATAAAAGTACTTTTTTGTTTCCTCCTTTAACCGACCATATGTCTCCGGTAGTTGCGGAAAGCGTTACCAAACCGACGAAACTGTGAACGGCCGTCTTCGTTTGTCCATAATCTGCCAACAAGGGAGCTTCGACTAACTCGTCAATTAATTCCTCGGCATATCCCAAATGTAAAAGTTGATCTTTGATAGAGACTTGGAGTAGCTTTGGAAACTCCTTGTTCATGGCCATCAGCATAGAGGTAACGTTCATGAAAGACTGGCCCTTACTTTGTAGATGATAAATTTTCGAAAAATCGGCTAATATAGAATCTACGTAACTAAAGGAGAAGATAGATTATTCGCCCATCATCATTGTGCCGTACGTGTATAGGACGTACGTGTAATCCTAGTTTAGTCCTCTTACCTGTTAAGTTTAAACGGTTGTATACCGTATTTATACATTAATTTAGCTAAAGTAAATATCTTGATATTGCTTGCTTCGAAAATAATATCTGTACCATTCCATATAGCAAATTTTTGCTCTCTGCTAGGCTTATGTTCCATTCCTATGAAATGATAAAGAGAATGAATTTATTAATTTCATTCTTGTAATGAAAATATTAGTCGACAAGTACCAAGTAAATGGACAAATTCTTGCATGTATTTGTTCTGCGAGTGTATAATTGAACCTCCGGCTTCATATTCATTGTCATCAATTTGGATCGTCGCCAAACGTCCACCAATCTTATTAGCTTCGTAAAGATCAATTTTTAAATCATTGTTAAATAGTTCAGTGAGAAAATGAGTAGTCGAAGCGGCTCCAATACCTCCTCCAATAACAGCTGTGCATATTATTATTATTATTATTATTATTATTTATGTATATAATATTACAATGGAGCATAAAACAAATCATATATTTCTTACCAATTTTTGGTGTTGGTATTTTTGAACAGAATGCATGCTTCAATAAAAAACTTGTCAACAGCGGTAGAAAATAAGAATGCATATTAAATCGATCAAATGACAAATGTATCTATGTTCTTTCTTATACCTAGTACGAAAAATATATTTGTAGATGTATTTAATTAATAAATAATAAATATCGCGCAAGGGGTTATGTTTTCGCGTGGACGCGTGGAAGTTGCGCCATCTATGCAACTAGGGTAAATCAAATAGAAGGAGTAAATTTGATATCGTCGTCGTCGTCGTCGTCGTCGTCGTCGTCATTTTTGTACGTATTCGAACGTTTGTTCGAATTCGAAGCAAACGTAAATATTGTAGATAGAATTTGATCAAAAATGCGATACAGCATTTAAAAATGCTTTTCCCAATGAACAGTACAACGTCCGCTAAGCAATCTTAGCTTTTGTTTTTTTTTTTTACTAATTTTCTTAATATATGTTTATATATTTTCTTGTTTGTACTTTTGAAAAACATCGAAGATGGCTTTCGTCGTTTATTTAAATGCACACCTCATTGTTTTCCTCATTGTATTCGTAAGAAAAAGTTGGAAGCTCGAGTACGGACGGCGGCACTTTGGTTCCTGTACTCGCGCACGTTCCATTTTCTATATCCGTGCTTTTACGAACAAACTGTGCGAAGTGAAACGAAACTTTGCGTTTGAACTATTTCCGGAAGCGACGCTCGTACGAAATTGCGTATTTTATGTCTATGCGTGGACTAGAATAGGTAAAGTAATGCCGTAATATGTAGGAAAGGATACAAAATGGTACATTGTCTTTTTAAGATGATGATTATTACAAATAATCAGATAATCTTTATTATCCACATATCATAGGTTTTATTTTAATTGGAAAAAAGGAAAAGGAAGAACGAGTTGATTTTGAAATTGTGTAGCATTTGAAGGAAGAAAGAAATGCGCGCTAGGACGAAAAGTGGTGTTTAAAAAAGATCTACTTTCGCGTCTTTGTGTTGTGCCGAGTAACGGGAAGCCGAGCCCTCGGTCGTCTCTCTTTGTTTTGTCTTTTTTTGCGAGCGAACAGCACCGGGGCGAGAGGCGAATCGTAGAAAAGTTGGCGCCGCCGAGTATTCGGTAAAAGATTTTCGTCCTCCCCTGGTGAGTGCTCCGGCATTGGGTGGGAGGAAAACGAGAGAACCCGACCGGCTTAACGAGAGTTGGTGGGGGAACCTGCCGATCTGATCACACAGAAAGGGGGAGAGACAGAGAGAGAGAGACAGAGAGAGAAAGGGGGGGAGAGAGAGAGAGAGAGAGAGAGAGAGAAAATGCGGTGTGGAATCTGCAACAAGGTGGGAGGAGCGCGAGGGTCGTTCGACTCGAAGGAGGAGAGGGAAAAGCACGGTGCTTTTGAAAAAGTTTTATCTTGGGCGCGCTTGGTCTCTCAGACGCTACCGAACGCCGGTACGGTGCTGCTGTACGGTTTGCGCTCTTCATTCATTATTCGCCGTCCACCTTTGCTAATAGAGAAAGAAGGAGATACACGGAGTAGTCCTCGCGATTGTCCTCGCGATTGTCCTCGCGATTGTCCTCGCGATTGTCCTCGCGATTGTCCTCGCGACTGTCCCTTTTATTTCTTTTTTTTTTTTATTCTTTCTATCGTTACCGATACAACTGACGTTTCTTACAACTGTCACACACGTGGGGATTATAGAAAAAAGGAGAAAGGCTCTCTTCGTTTCGTCGTCATGAGTTATTGAAGAAAGCTTTCAGAGAAAGGAATAGGTAGATAGATAGATAGATAGACAGATAAGAGATCGAGGAATACTCTTTGGCTCTCGCCAAGATGAAGAAGAACCGTGTTTTATTAAGGAGTGCGTTGCTCTTCCTGCTGATTGCCGCTGATTTTCTACTCGTTGCTGCATCCGAGGTGAGTTATTAATTAAGATTTTCTTTTTCTTTTTCTTTTCCTTTTTCTTTTTTCTTATCCACGTGTTTCTTCGTTTTCGGATTAGACTTATCTCGATAAGTTATGTTTCCGATATTTAAGTCGATAACGCATCATCGTTTTACGATCGTTTCGAAGAAGAGGAGCGTGCGCGATCAACAGGTACGTGTGCGTACACGCGTCCAACTTCTAAGGTAAAAACGATAGGTAAAACTATAAGGTAAAAACTAGGCAAACTTGGCATCTTCTCTCATTGTCAGTCGGCAAAATATCGTATCGATATTCTCCACGACGAAAGATATAACAGGAGACGAGAGAAACTCGCTGTATAGTCTCGATACGTGCGGATAATTTCTCGAGGTCGATTATATTCCGATCACACTTCCAACTTTGAGACAAGAAAGCGGGAGAGAGAGAGAGAGTAGCCGGCGTTAAGCATTACTCTTCAAACACATACACGAATAGCAATTCGAGATGTCGGTCGGTCGGTCGGTCGGTCGGTCCATCTTTTGAAGATTGACGGAATATCATTTGGAAAGATGAAGAGTCTATTTAAAAAATATAAAAATAATCTAAAATTTGGACGCGTAACGTTATCTGGTCGAGTTGCGATGTTCGATAATCGCGATATCACATTTCGTCGTGGTGCGCTTACGCGGTCGAGCTCGTTTGATAAAATTACTTCTGCCGGATGCACGTTAACATCGGGTCTTAACTTAATTGGATAGAGATTATCGGAGGTTGAAAGGACTACTCGATTCGCAAAATGGTTACGCATACTACACAGTTAATGACTTTATTTTAAACAGAGATTCGATCTATCCTCATATTTATTGTAGCCCGTACGCTCTTAATTGCAACTTGGATGGTTACTACTACTTTTAATTCACAATGATTCGTGTGTCTTCTTTAACTTTGATTTTGCTAAACAATTGATCGGACGAATTAAAAGGAATATTGACTCGAAATGGTTGGACGATATATTGTATCGCGATTAAGGGATCAATTGGATTTAGCTTTCAACGGAAAGAAGACGAATCATCGACGACGTGGCATCGCACGTTCTTCGACGAAAATCGTTGTCCGAGAAGAAAGATGGTGGGTAAAGGATATATCGAATAAGAGGGAGGGAGAGAGGGAGGGAGGAAGGCATATTGGAGTACAAGGTTCCTTCATTATCGTATCCTTTTTCCTCGGACGACAAGTGTGTTTTCGAACGGAGAAACCTTTCCAATGGGGATACGCTATTTCGATTCGTTTGGGAAAAGGATGAAGGGAAGATTTGTACCTTATGAAAAATATGGTAATGCAGGTGGCTTTTCGCGACCGAATCGTTTTCTTTTCTACCTTTAAAAGAGCCCCCGAGCTCGCCACCAACCTAGCTCTCTCTCTCTCTCTCTCTCTCTCTCTCTCTGCAAGAATATTTATATAGATATTATTGTTATAGAGACGATGTCCGCGAGAGCATCGGAATTGTATGCTGGAAAGATCGACCGAGGGAACGAGAATTTAGGGCTTCCGGACGAGACGCAATTCGAATACGCGGCTAATTTGAAAACTTGCAACGATGTCCTACGACTACGCAAGAAATATACCGATGATATTCTGTATACCGTTTTGATCGAGGTGCTTCTCTTGTCTTTCGAGAAAACTCCAAATGAACTTTCTTTATTTTCTTCTTCTTCTTCTTCTATTTCTTCTTCTTCTTCTTCTTTTGCTTTGGCTTTTCCTTGCCTTTGCATTTAGCGAAACTTCGTAGAGATACAGATTATCTGAATATATAGTTCATTTTTGGTCAATCAGTATTTTCGGAGTCTCGAAGGAACCGTAACCGGTTGTCACGTATGGACGGTCGTCTCTTACATAAGTAATGCCGTGTGGTAAGAAAAAGGAGAAAAAAAAAAGAAAGAAAAAAGAAGAAAGCAAAAAAGTTAAAATAGCTGTATGAAATGCAGAGAAAAAAAAAAGTTCTCCTCGATAAATATCGCTTACCTCATCGTACAATGTCCATTAATACTCTCGCGACATATAGTCATTACTTTTTTATGAATTATATTTTAATATTACACGCCTTAGAATTTTTTTTTAAAAATTATACGAATATGATTACGTTTGTATTCTCTTATAGAAAAATCTACATTCCAACGTATACTACAACGAGATCGTAATTGGAGAAATAAATGAGTCATCAAGTTTACTTTGTCGCGATATATTTTCGCGTTAGGTATACGATTCTGTAGGAGACGTAGGTAGATGATAAGAAGAAGAAGAAGCAGAAGAAGAAGAAGAAGAAGAAGAAAAAAGAGGTAGCTCGATACATACCCGAGGATATTTGGATTCGTATTGGCGTGGTCTAGCTTTAGGACACTCGAAACACCGCGGTCGCATCGAGGAGCATTCTCATGAAAGTACTTTTTCTTCCCTCTGAGTACCGGTACTCTCGAGTGCTACTTTTAAGTGTCTTATCGTCCCAACGGATCTTTACTTCTTTTAACGCGTCCATTCGCACCCAATGGGTGCGAGACCAAACTTCCTCTTTCTTTTTGGCTTTGTTTTAGAAAAATTCCAAGGTATATCGAAAGCTGAAGGAGGAGTGGTAGGTAGGACCGGTAATATAAGCCGGTAGTCGAATCGATTTTCACGGCTAATCCTTATTGGGTCGGTAATATATGTAGCATCAGAGTCATCTCGTTTTTCCTAGTTGATTTGACGACGCTCTTTATCGTCTCTCCAGGATACAACTTTGTTCTTTTGTACTTTTTTTCTAGTAGATACTCTCTCTCGTTATATATCGTTATATATCGATCATCCCTTTTAATCGGATATGGACGGCGAATTTGCGTGGACTGACCGTGAAATTAAAGGGGACAACGATCATCAAGCCCCTTGGAGAGAATAAGCGAAAGGAAAGATTATACTTTAACTTGAACTTATACTTTTCGTCGAATAAGAGAGTAAGTTCGATGCGCGGTCAGGTAGGATCCTTTGGAGAATTGCCCCGCATCTGTACGCATGTACCGATAAACAAACGCCACGTCGCGCCACACTTTTTCCCTTATTTATTTTCTTTTTATATAATACTTATATTAGAGAAAATCGTTATCGAAGGTGGTGGCAGTGGCGGAGGCGGAGGCGGAGGCGGAGGCGGGCCTCTAACGTGCCTGCAGCTTGCAACCAAGAGGGATTAAGCGCATCTGGTGACCGTGTCACCAGAAAGATGGAGGGAGAGACTCGTTCGCTTGACGAACAAAGACCGTGTTCGAGGAGAAAGCACGTGTACGAGAATAAAAAGAGAGACGATCGCGTCTTAAACGTGTGGGCGAGTCAAACTGGTTTTCACGTTCGCGTGTCCATGGGAAGAAAGAAGAAGTAGACGAAGAAGAAGAAGAGGAAGAAGAAGAAGAGGAAGAAGAAGAAGAAGAAGAAGAAGAAGAAGAAGAAGAAGAAAGGAGGAGGAAGGTCTTGGAAACGAAAAGCAAAAGCAAAGGCAAAAGCGAAGGCAAAGGCAAAGGCAAAGGCAAAGGCAAGACGACTTTCGTACGTAGTACGGTGCTCCCCATGGCAACAACGCGAGTTGCTCCTTTTTTTTTTTTCTTTTTTTTTTAAACTTGCATATTTGTGTACAACTCGCCATCGACGCCCATGCCGCCTCCGCCACCTCCGCGCTACTTCCGCCGACGATATCGCCAAGTGTGTGACGATACTACTTGCAACGGCGCAATATCCAATGCTATTTCCTATACATCATTAGGAAGAAGACGGGAGTGTCGCAACTTCACTAAGACTGTGTGTGTGTGTGTGCGTGTGCGTGTGCGTGTGCGCCCATGGTCGACATCGAGTCGACGAGATCCGAAACACGTGCAGCTTCCTTTCTATTTTTCTTCTTTACATTTTTTATTACTTTCTCCGATTGGAAAGATTTTCGTGATGAATTACAAGGAAAAAAGATTTGGTGCGTTTCCTTTGGTAGAAAGTAAACTTGGCATTATCGTCAAATCGAACGACGGATGTCTCAGGTGTTTCATATACCGTTTCCCTCGTTTCTCTTCTTCCAAAGGTTCTTTCTTTTTCTTAAGAAACAAGCGTAGCTTGCCATTCGATCAACATTTCAAAAAGAATCTTCGATTCATAGGGCTTGAATAATGTAATGAGTAACGAAAATCCGATTTTGGGTCTTTCTTCTTTTGCACGTACTTATGTGCATAAGAAAATCATGACATCCAACGAGAACGCGTATTTTAAGAAGACAAGACTTTAACTCGACGCGCGCAATTCCGTTTGCTATTTCGGAATTTGCCATTTTACAATTTTATTCGAGATCGTAATGCACATTTGTAGACACGTCTTATCGCATTTCATTGGAAATCTTCAAATCTATGCTTTATAAATCTAATGGCTTATCGCGTGTAAAGTCAAGGTCGGAAATTGCGAGTCATCGAGTTGCGTGCTGGTAAAAAGATACCGATTGTTCGAATGATTCGTGACCATTTAGCATTATTTTTGTCCGCGTTTCGTATCAAAGTTCGTCATTAACGAATAACGCTTATCCAGCGTTGAATGACTTGTAGCGTTGAAGCGCTGGCAAATAGAGGCACTTCTCGGTCCGGCCAGGAACGTTGCGATCCTAATCACTCGCCATTCAGTCTACCTACTCTCTTGGAGGATCCCTTTCCCGAATTTTCTTCATATTTCTCGGCATTGACGAATCAAAGGAATCGAGATTGCGTCATCCGCATCCGTTAATGCAGATTCGAGGAAAAATCAAACTTTGAAAGAACGTGTTATCGTGCGTAGTCGTAAGGCGATCCTAGAGCAAAAGAATAGAAAAAAAAAAAACCCAAAAGAATAAGTCACGATGTCAATAAATTCAAACTTATCTGCGGCCATAAATCTGGAGACGGTGCGCGACCACATTGGGGTTCGATGAAGCATGCAAAGCCAATGCTGTTTGAGACTTATAGCGCCGACCGATCAAACGATCA